AGTGGTGGAAGCTGAAATTGGTGATCCTAACACTACCAATGACCCATCTGCAGTCACAGAACCACCTCCTGTTTCTGGACAAAAAAGGAAAAAGGTTGAAGTCACTACAGTCAGATCTAAGATTTGGGAGCACTTTTCCAAGATTAAAGATAGCAACGGTGTGGTTATTAAGGGCAAGTGTGATTATTGTGCCAAAATTTATTGTTGTCACTCAAAAAAGCATGGTACTTCCTCCATCAGGAATCACATGCTTAGCTGCTTAAAAAACCCTCATGCTAAAGACACTAGACAGGCCCTTTTAACCTTTCAATCAGTCCCTCCACAGCATGGTCAACCTTCTGAAAATGTTGGGGTCATAGGAACCTGGGTCTTTGATCAAGATGCTACTAGGAGAGCTCTAGGAGAAATGCTAATCATTGATGAGCTTTCTTTTAGATTTGTAGACAGACAAGGTTTTAGGAAGTTTATGTCAGTAGCATGTCCTAGATTTGTAATACCTTCTAGGTGGACAATTGCTAGAGACATCTATCAGATATACCTTGATGAAAGACTTATCCAAAAAAAGATGTTCAGGGAACACAGTCAAAGAGTCAGTATTACCACTGATACATGGACCTCTGTACAGAGGATAAATTACATGTGTATAACTGCTCATTTCATTGATGATCAGTGGAAGCTTCAGAAAAGAGTCATTTCCTTTGTCCCTGTCACTTCTCACAAAGGGGAGTACCTAGCTAAAGCCCTAGAGACTTGTTTGCTTGAGTGGGGTCTAAGAAACATTTTCACTGTCACAGTAGATAATGCTAGTAGTAATGATACTGCTGTTGGGTTTTTTAAGAAAAAATTGATGTCTTGGGGTGCTTCTTCTGTGAAAGTCAAGTATGTTCATATGCGTTGCATTGCACACATTTTGAACTTAGCTGTCCAAGATGGGCTTAAAGATGCTGATAGTTCTGTTAAGAGAATTAGGGAAGCTGTTAAGTATGTTAGGAACTCACCTGCTAGACTGCAGAAGTTCAAAGATATATCTAACTTGATAGGAGTGGAAGCTAAGTGTGGTTTGCACCTGGATGTTCCAACTAGGTGGAATTCCACTTACCTGATGCTTAAATCTGCTATTTCTAATGAGAAAGTGTTTGAAGCGTATGAGGAGAATGAGAGTGCATTTGGTACTGATTTGGGTAGTGACATTCCTGATGTTTTAGACTGGATTGCAGTTGAAACTTTTGTGACCATTTTACAAAATTTTTATGAATTGACTCTTAGAGTTTCTGGCGCACTCTATGTTACTTCCAATACCTTCTTTTCTGAAATATCTGATTTGTTCCTTGTCCTAAAAGACATGGTTGCCTCTCCATCTGCTTCTGTCAGTGCAATGGGGACTACTATGAAAGCAAAGTTGGACAAGTACTGGGGTGATCCTGAAAAAATGAACTCCTTGATCTTCTTTGCTAATGTGTTAGACCCTAGGGACAAGTATGAGTATATGCCATTTCAGCTCAATGCTTTATATGGTGAAAAAAATGGTGCCTTGTTTTTTGCCAAAGTGAAGTCTGGCCTCATTGAGTTATATGCTGATTATGTTGTTACATACTCTGATTGTGTTGGTGGAAGTTCTAATTCTAGTTCACATAGTGCTGCATCTGTGGAAGTCAATAATGCTGAGCACAGGCCAGTGTCAAGATTTAAGGCTGAGTTAAAAAAAAAGAAACTAGAGAATGGTCAGTTAGGAGTTAAAAAAACTGAACTTGATATATATCTTGAAGAGTCAATAATTGAGGAAGATATGGACTTCGATATACTGAGATGGTGGAAGTTAAATAGTGAAAGATTTCCTATTCTATCTAAGATGGCTAGAGATGTACTTGGTATTCCAATCTCCACAGTAGCTTCTGAGTCCACATTCAGTACCAGTGGTAGGGTTTTGGACTGTTTTAGAAGTTCTTTAAGTCCCAAAATTGTGGAAGCCCTTATATGTGCACAAGATTGGTTGAGAATGGCTAACCAGCCTATTTCAGTTGAAGAAAACATGGATGATGTGGACAGATTAGAAAAAGGTAATACTGTTATGCCTTTTTTGTTTATTTAAACATAATTTGTAATAGAATGTTTTCTTTTTTCATTTCTAACACTGCTATTTCTTTGTTTTACAGAATTAACAGATGTAAATCTTGGTAGTGCTGCTACTGGGGCTACTGGATCCTCTAATGGCCCATTGAGTGTACACTTTTTGTTTGCATTGCTATTTTTTGGAATTAATTTGTGAAGCATTTCATAATGAATTTGAATATTTGATTATCTGACTATGATGCCTCATTGTGGAACTGGAAAGAACTAGTGAACTACTATGATGGAATTAAGATTCCACTCATTCCAGTGCCCACTTGGTACAATGTTATTGGCCCCTTATCCGTTTGTCCCTTGGTCCCTTGGAAAGCTTGCATGGTAAACCACTTTTATGTTACAGTTCATACCTATGATGAACAGTTTGAACACACATTTGGCTGTGATGAATGTTTCCAGGGTTTAGAGTTTTCACTTTAAACTTTTGACTAATTATCCCATGACTCATGGATGATTGTGTTGGTGTTAATCCTGTTTGGATAGTATGCCCATATCCTTTGTGAGATCATATGTGAGATAACTTGGAATCAATCTGAGCCTAACTTTGCATACCTGAAACTGTTTATGAGTATTTACTTCTAAAGTTTATGAGTATTTACTTTTACATTTTACTTATACAGGATGAAATATCCAATATGTTAATTTGATGGTCTGGGGTCTGGAATTTGGATTGTTCACTGTGGAGCATGGAGTATGTGTGAAGTAATGAAGTAATCATCCTCTACTGGTATAAATTTCAGTGTATGTTGTGACCCTATTATAACATATCAGTCTGATATATATGATAAATTAAGTAATATATATGGCAATGATGAAGCTTCCACTCATTACTGAATCTAAGGGGTTTAGGGTAGGTATTGCTCTTTCAGTTCTTAAGTGATAACTGAAATGGTAGCGGATGCCCCCTATCCTCTATGAATGATAATAAGCATTCTGAGCCATCTCATTGTCTTCTATAGTCATTTGGGAATTTTGAAGTTCTGATTTTGTAAAAATAGCTTATTCTGTATCTTCTATGTATTATTTTCATAGTATACTTCAATTCTTTGTGAAGTTGATACTTGTTTATGTCTTCTACTGGTTATCTGGTATAGTGGTATGCTACTCAGCTACTAATCCTACTATTAAGCTTGTATATAGTCGGACTGTCTGAGTTTAAAATGAAATACAATTGGATTGTCATTTTATTTTTCAGTGTATGTTGTGACCCTATTATAACATATCAGTCTGATATATATGATAAATTAAGTAATATATATGGCAATGATGAAGCTTCCACTCATTACTGAATCTAAGGGGTTTAGGGTAGGTATTGCTCTTTCAGTTCTTTAGTGTAACTGAAATGGTAGCGGATGCCCCCTATCCTTTATGAATGATAATAAGCATTCTGAGCCATCTCATTGTCTTCTATAGTCATTTAGGAATTTTGAAGTTCTGATTTTGTAAAAATAGCTCATTCTGTATCTTGTAAGTATTATTTTCATAGTTGATACTTGTTTATGTGTTGCACTGGTAATCTGGTATAGTGGTATGCTGCAGTTAAGCTTGTATATAGTCTGAGTTTAAAATGAAATAGAATTGGATTGTCATTTTCTTTTTCAGTCTATCTTGTGACCCTATCATAACATATCAGTATCATATATATGAATTGTATGTATAGTCATTTGGGAGCTTCTGAAGTTCTGAATTCTGATTTTGTATAAAGACTTAATCTGTTTCTTCTAAGTATTTTTTCATTGTATACTTCAATGCTTTGTGAATTTGATACTTGTTTATGTATTGTATATTTGTATGTTGTATCTAGGTAAATAGGTCATCAACTTGTGATGTTTTGAGTTTTGACGTGTTAAAGCTGGGAAGTGGACAATTGGTCAAGTTATCAAGTACTGAAGTACTCTACTACTCAAATACTCAAGTGTGAACTGTGAAGTGGGAACTTATGATTTTGCTGTTTGGGAATTTTTGAATGGCAGCTTGTAAAGTTGTAACATTTATAAGACATTGTAATGTGTAAACTTAGTCCCATTTCATTTTGTTATATTTTTTGGACTTAAACTCAGTATGGTTTGATTGTAAACATCAAAGTTCAAATTGTATTTAAACTCTGATTTTTTTGGCTAATTTGTTAACCCGATTTAACCCGAAACCCGACCCGCGCCCGACATAAACCCGAAAATTTAAAACCCGAATGTTTTTTATTTTAAATGCATAGGATCGGGTATCCATTCAAGTCACCCGATACCCGATAGGGTCTTGGGTTTTTCAAACCGCCCGACCCGAACCCGACCCGTGCTCTCCCCTATTTGCATGTGCGTAAGTTTTTGCTTATATAAGCCGCCTCTTCAAGTGGCTGTTCTTTAACTCTGATCATTCCAGCATTATTTTGGAAAATACATTTAACCCAACATTATTTTTCGAAAATATTAATTTATTTAACATTATTTTGGAAAAAAACTCACATAAAAACGGCCGGTATTTATGCCTTTACCCTGTGGTTCAAACTGAGATGTCTTGAAAGGTCAGTAGCAATTACCGGCCGAGAATCACCCGTCCCCGTCTTTATCTACAAACTGAAGAGGCGAAACTATTTTATTCTCCTTTCCCCCCAATTCCCCAAAGATCCAATTTTTATGTATATGCATATTCATTCCTTATAATTACTACTGAACTATTACGGAATATTATTTTATCAATTACCGAAAATATGAACAGGTGAACAATTGCAAGTGTGTGACTCAAAACTTCTCTCAACTGTTTCCTCCTCTCATACCAATAGTTTTTTAACCTTATCATGGAATCTTCTACCTCTCCAGATTTTGGTTTGATCTAAGGTTTTTGGTATTCTTGATTTTCTGCGAATGTGGGCCGTGTAATCTGGGCTTGATCCAAGATTTTTTGACACATTTCGAGCTAAACCTGGGTGGCACTGATTTGAATTTGATCGACCTGGGATTTGGATATAGTGATTAATATATGCAGATAGTTAGTTACATTGATAGGGAAAAGAGAAAAAGATTCATTCTTTTCTCTTCAGAGGATTCAGATAGGGATAGTTAGTTACATTGATAGGGAAAAGAGAAAAAGATTCATTCTTTTCCCTTCATTCTTTTGGGTTTGTGGAAGTTAGGTAGGTTTTGGGGGTTGGAATCATGGGCTGTATGTGCGCAAAGGGGGTAGTATCAGGACATAAGCTACCAGGGAAACGTGGTACGGGGAAGGAGAGAGAACCCAAAATACTGTCTTCAAAACGGTCCAGTTCATCTTATAGAAAGGAGAAAGTAGTTATGGAGGTTGATAATGGCAGTAATGAGGTCACTACCCCGTTAATATCACCACATGCTAGTTTGGATGAGCTGAAGCCTGTTGGAATATATACTCAAATGAGCAGGCCCATTATAGATGATGGAGGGACCGGCGGGGTGGAAGTGTCACATCAGTTGACAGACTGTGTGTTTGGCGTGAGGAATGGAGTTGATGGTGCTCAAGTTGCTGCGGGATGGCCTTCATGGTTAACTGCTGTGGCAGGGGAAGCTATCAACGGGTGGGTCCCTAGAAAAGCGGATTCATTCCAGAAATTAGATAAGGTCTTCTCTATTTCCTACACTCACTCTTATATGTGTTTTGATTGATCTCACACTTTCCCAACTTTTGTTGTTATTGTTATTATTCTTTCGTACTGAGTGTATGGTTGTCTTCTTCTTGGTTTGCCTTGAACAAGCATCACCATCATGAGCAGCACCTTACCCCCAACTTATTGGCTTCAGTGGCATGCCATATATAGTGCTATCTAGTGGTCTGAAATTATGGACTATTTGAAACTAAAAAACTCTTGAGAAAAAATGTTTTAAAATTCCAAAATAGGAGTGTCATGTTTTTTATTCCCTGAATAGGAGTAATCTGCCGACTTTGGAAAAAATGCCATGTTTAAAAGCCTTGTAATGCCAAACTTGGCAGAAATTTACTCCTATTCAAGGAATAAAAAACATGATACTCCTATTTTGGAATTTTAAAATGTTTTTACTCCTATTTAGGGAATTCTCTCATACTTTTTATCTAATATGAACGTTTTTTGGGATTTGAAAGTTATCTGCATTTACTTTTCCACATTGATAAGCAACTGGACTTAATTGTTAGGGAGTGATTGTGTGCGTAGTGATAGAACATAGAATACACTTCATAAGTTCAAATGGACTTGAATGTCTGTAGGGATTTGTTAGTCAGTCTCTATTCGTTCTTTGATTATTTTGTTCACAAATAACTGTATCTTGAGAATAACTGAATTAACAAGGCATTAATTAATAATTTTGTAAATGATAGACATCCTCTGTCCCAATTTTTTTCCCCGGGTTGTCCCTAAATAAACTTGTTTCAACCATACAATTTTACTTTCTTAATTCCTGTGCCGAAAGCAAGTACAGAGGGTGTAGTACTTTAAACTATTGTTAGAGGTGTTTTAGTCATATTATAGCATTCTTACCTAAATTTTAGAGAAGTTCATTACTTTTGTATAAATATGCGAACGCTTGAAACAATAGTTAAAAGAGCACGGGTGGAGCATGTATTTCGTGTTCCACATTGATAAACATTTGAAGTTTCTATTATTTTGGTGATGATGATTGTTTTTACTCTTGATGATTTGAATATATATTTGGTATCACAATATAAGGAAATAAAAGATGTAGTTTGGTCAAAGAAGATATCTATTGTGGGACCATGAGAGTGTATATAGTGTTCCACATTAGTTAATATACTTAATATTAATCCTTTTCCCGTGACTCAAGTTTAAAAGTAGACCGACCAATGCATACATGGATTAGAGTGGTCGAAAATAATTTGATACTACTTGGGATATGTGAGAGTATGACTTTGGAGAGGGTGAAGTAGAGGGAGTGCATATTTGAGAAGATTGGTCTTAGATTGTTGCCTGTTGGTCTCCCTTTTTCTCTATCTATTTGTTTTTAACTCTAATATCATATGTCATGTTAGCCGATCCCAAACTCTTTCAGGAATACGCTTGGATGTTTTTGTTGCCTATGACTTGTGTTTTGGTTTTGATAATAGTCCTTGTTGCTTTCTATTATATGAACATGTGATGCAGATTGGTCAAGGGACATATAGCAGTGTGTATAGAGCTCATGACCTCGAAGCTAAAAAAGTAGTCGCCTTAAAGAAAGTACGGTTTGTGAACATGGATCCAGAGAGTGTTCGTTTTATGGCAAGAGAGATTATTATACTACGTAGGCTGGACCACCCTAATGTGATGAAGCTTGAAGGTCTAGTGACTTCCCGAGTTTCGGGACATTTGTATCTTGTGTTTGAATACATGGAACATGATCTTGCAGGTCTAGTGTCATCTCCAGCAATCGGGTTTACAGAGTCACAGGTATGAATTCTTTTCCCATCAATGAAGTTAGTGAAATGATGTAGAAAGGATACCTAATGGGGTGGTGTTTATTTTGTGATACTTATTTTTGTTAATAACTTAATATGCTCTTGCATTGGTTGATCAGTAGGAAATTAAAGGTGAGAAGTGATAATAATTACAAGTTTTTTTTCCTGGTACAGCACTAATTAGTATAGATAAATTAGTAAGAGCACTTTCACCTCTCCCATCTAAAATCCCAAAAAGAGCAAGGCTAAGGGTCTGTTTGGGATCCGGAAACTACTAGGGGAAGAAAATAGGAAGGGAAACATAAAGGAAGATTTGAAGGCAAGTAAAATGTGGTAGATCAGCTAAAACCCAAATAATTTATTTAATGCATATGTTGATCCTCATTTTATTCATCCATGTCTATTATTTAAAGGCTAAGAAATTTAAATACATGTATGTTTGGAATGTTAATTAAATTTTATTTTCTTTTGCATTTTTGTGAAGTAATTTCCAACACAATTAAATGGTCTCTTTGAAATGCAGAAATTACCCGGAAATAAATAACGAAGGATCACATAGAGGAATATTTGTAAGAAAGAACATGCTGGAGAAAATAAAGGATTGGCTGTTTAGCTCGATATATTTATTTAGATATGTGTTTTGAATCATTTCATTTGCTAATGTTTATCATGTAATGACTAAGATGTAAGAAATATAAGTATATGCCCTTTAAAAAAATCATATTTGATTTTTGTTTGCATTTTATAAGTAACAATTAAACATTTTCTGAGATCCAAACATGCCCTTTTTTGGGTTCCATTTGGAACTTGAAAAATACTAGGGGAAAGGAAATAGGGGGAAGATGGGGAGTAATACTGGATTTGGAGGGAGGGAGATAAAAGATACACACAAAGTCACAAACAGAATATATTAATACGTAGTGTTAAATATTTGTTCAAACTCATTTTATTTACTTTGTTCGTATTATTAAAAATACCAACACTAAATATATACGGAATATAGAATTTTGTAAGTAATTTTCACACCAAACTCTTTTGGGACTAAGGCTTGGATGTTGTTGTTGTAATTTATCACACCGAATTTTTCTTTCGCATGCTTCCAAGGCGAAACCAAACACAAAAACAACTTTTCCCTGGCATTTTTTGCCTTCCCCTCGCATTTAGCCATTTACTAGATACAAATATACCCTTTAGGGGGCGGGGCTTGTTTCTACCTTGCTTCCATTAATCCAATATCATCATCATTTCATGTTTTTTTTGTTCTTCACCTTAAAGGCTGTGTGATTTGGTGTAGATAAAGTGCTATATGCAACAACTGTTTCATGGGCTTAAACACTGCCACAGCCGTGGGGTTTTGCATCGTGACATAAAGGGTTCAAATCTTTTGATTGACAACAATGGTAATCTCAAGATTGGCGATTTCGGACTTGCAACATTTGTTAGTACCAATCAGCCACTGACAAGTCGTGTTGTCACTTTGTGGTATCGGCCACCAGAACTCTTGCTTGGTGCCACTGACTATGGAGTAGCAGTGGATTTGTGGAGCTCAGGTTGCATCCTTGCTGAATTATTTGCTGGAAAACCTATTATGCCTGGAAGAACTGAGGTACTTGTGTAGTTCTGGGGGTCGCAAGTATTATGGTATCAATAATTTTTCTTGATTTAATACCATATTTCGGGCCCGTATGGTAAGGAGAGTAAAAAACTGAAAAGTTTCATCTGTGGCATTGCAATCCGCAACCATCCCATAGTATTTTTTATATCATTTTTCTTGACGGAGAATATAGGGATTTTTCTCATGGAAGCTAAATCAGGAAAGAACATGAAATTAGGATAAAATATTGGTCAAATTTAAAGTTGAAGATTAGACGTGGAATCGACAGAATAGTCAAGGACTAAATATGGAATAAAGTCAATTATGTTTTTTCTCTAGGAAATATTTGGGGTTGAATGCTCAATTTGGACCCTATTCACTGTTTTGACAAATATGTTTCTTTGATCGTTTTAATATAACATTTGGTGAGATTGATTATAGCCTGGTGAGATTGCTTAACGCGTATGGTCGTTTGGAACATCCATTTTGGACCCAAGCCTTTTATCTAAGCCTGGCCTGCTCACGCGTAAAATAGTAAAAATGAAATGAAAATCTAGACCAGCGGTGAAATATTGAATGTTTGAGGGAATAGGAGGCAGAAGAATTGTTTTGAATTTTGTCATTGGCTCATTGCAATTAAAGATAGATCAGAAGCTGATAGCCTACACTACTCTTTGAAGTTCTGTTTGGGTGGATTGTTGTGGAGAGGAGGCTTAGTTTACTTGTTGATAAATAGAATGATTCTAGTAACAAGTAAGAGTTTATTAATTGTGTTACGATCACATATTATGTTAATTTTTTCAAATATTTTGAAGATCCTGGGGTGTATGTTTGGTTCGGCTGACTCTGCTACAGAAAATTTCGAGTCTATTTCATCTCTTTTATTCCAAGAAAACCCGAACAATTTAGGGGACGCCTTAGGGTTGACTGAGGAGGCCTATGTGAGAAACATTGAGGAGGGTGTTGTGGAATCAGATGGTAAAGTAGAGGAGCAAGGTTGCGACACGGATCAAGGTCAAAATAAGAACATTATATTATTACAGGGTGATTCTCAAACTATAGTTGTTGATGATTCAGACAAATAAGAACATTATATTATTACAGGATGATTCTCAAACATTGAGGAGGACTTTCAACTGCTTGAAAGTCCTCCTACCCCCTTCCATAACTCTATATCTCAGCAGACCCTAAGGATATGTTTTGAAGGGGGTTATGGAGCGGAAGGGGTCATTTTTCATTTTAACGGTAATATGTATCAACTTCATATTTTTTTTAAAACAAATGATTCAAAATGGTAAATTTGTATATATTCAATGCCCCAGTGCTGTATTTCCTACTCACTTTTCTATTTGCGTAAATGGTACTCCCTCCGTCCCATTTAAAGGTTCCCGTCCACTATTCACATGGTCAACTTAAATCATTCTTAACCTTTTGCTTTATATATCAAATTTTTATGAAATTTATACTCCCTCCGTTTCCAAAAGAAAGTCACGGTTTGACTTCACGATTATTAAGGAAATAAATTGACTTTACTGTAGAAAACATTGTTTAGACACTGTTTGGCACTGTTTCGCACTGTTTCGCACTGTTTGGATGTAGATTTCTTTGCCAAATAAGGAAATAAGGGAAGTGTGACTTTGTTTTTGAAACATCCCAAAAAGGAAAGTGTGAGTTTCTTTTAGAAATGGAGGGAGTATTTTTTTAATCAGGTTTTGTAGCGACTTTAATGTAGTTTCTGAATATGTAAATTTTATTTACTAGAAATAATCAGAGTGTGAACAGGCATCCAGTTGCTTTATCGTCAGTCAAGCATCGTAACGCGAACCGGGAACCTCTATATGGGACTGAGGGAGTATATAACATTTGTAAGTTAAACACAAAAATAAACCCCACCTCTCTTTTCCACACAAAACTCTCTTTCCAAATACACAAAGGAAGATAGGCAGCTAATGCGTAGGGTGGAGAAGAGAGCTAAATTGGGGTTTTGATTGGTTGAGAAGGGAACTTGGGAGTTGGTGGTTTTGGTTCAGTGAAGATGGACGCTCGATTAGAACAACAACAACAACAACATACCAAGTCTTATTCCCAAAAGATTTTGGGTCGGCTAACATGAATCGATTCATGATATCAGAGCCAAAAAGAGAAGAAAGATAAGAAAAATAAAAAGATAAAGTAAGATAAAATGAATAAGATAAAGATAAATACTCCCTCCGTCCCATTGGACTTTGCCAACTTTCCCTTTTTGGCTGTCCCAAAAAACTTTGCCACTTTTCTATTAAAGCAACTAATTTGTGGTTCTGCACATTTCTCTCTCCTCTGCACAAATCTCAACCACACAATTTTTACTATTCTTATTTCCCACCTACTTTGTACTTGGCAAAGTCTACCGGGACGGAGGTAGTTGTTAGAGAAGCGCAGGTTCAGAACAGAAATCAATAGAAAATTCGAACTAATCTATAGAGAAATTAGCTCAAGAACAATTCTGCAACTTTATTCAAGTAAGGTAAACTGTATACAAGTCCCAAAGGAAAGAGATAATACTCGATCCTTCCCAGTCCCAGTCCCAAGCATCTAACAGCCTGCTCTCCCAACCCTTCTTTATTCTATTTATAATTTCGTAGACTAACTGCAAGTAGTTACAACAATATAACAGAAAGTAACTAATAGCGTCTAGCCTACTTATTCCTTCTAGAATAAACTTGGCCGTAATATCTATCTTCCTTGTCAGCATTGACCGTGTCCCTATCAATACTCCCCTTCTGAAAATCCAACTTGCCCTCAAGTTGGAATTCAGGGAATTGATCTTGGATCACCTGTACCTCTTCCCATGAATCTTCAAATGCAGGCAGACCCTTCCATTGCACCAGGATCTCCTTTTTCCCTTCTCGATTCATTCTAACTCCTTTTACTTCTTCTGGTTCTACTTGTAATTCTCCTTCTTCTGTGAGACATTTTGGTAGATCATGATATAGAACATGAGGTTTCAGTACCTTCTTTAATAAAGATATGTGGAATACTGGATGTATTCTACTATCTATAGGTAACTTGAGCTTAAAAGCTACAGGATTCAACTTCTCCAGGATTTCGTAAGGGCCATAAAATCTGGGACTAAGCTTCTGATTAACCTTTTTGGCTAAACTCTTCATTTTGTAGGGTTGTATTTTCAGAAACACTTTATCTCCGACTGATAGCTCAACTCCCCTTCTGTGTTTGTCAGCTTGCTGCTTCATTAAATTTTGAGCTTTAGCCAAATTTTCCTTCAATTCCTTCAATATGTCATTCCTTTCAGCTGTTAGTCTCGACACCTCAGCTACTGCAGATAAACTGACATCTCCCCGGATGATGGCAGGTGGTTCTTGCCCAAATAAAGCTTTGTAAGGAGTGTTCTTTAATGAAATGTGATAATTTGTATTGTACCAGAACTCAGCCCAAGGTAACCACTTCACCCACTGTTTTGGTTTGCTTCCAGTCACACATCTCAAATAGGTCTCAACACATCTGTTAACCACCTCCGTCTGCCCATCACTTTGAGGATGGTAGGCTGTGCTATACTTTAACTGAGTACCTGCCAATCTGAAGAGTTCAGACCAGAATTTGCTAAGAAAAATACTATCCCTGTCACTCACAATTGTCTTAGGGAACCCATGGATTCTCACCACTTCCTGTACAAATACCTCCGCCACCTCCTTAGCATTGAAAGGATGTGTTAATGGTAGAAAATGTGCGAATTTAGTCAACCTGTCCACAATTACTAATATGGTATCCTTACCCAGAGATCTAGGCAAACCTCCTATGAAATCCATGCTTATATCTGTCCATATGTGGTTAGGTATAGGCAATGGCTGAAGTAAACCTGCAGGTTTTAGGGCCTGATATTTATTCCTCTGGCATGTGTCACAACCCTGTATATAATCTTTGATATCAGCTCTCATCCCGGTCCAGAAAAACAAACTGGAAATTCTCTTCATTGTTCTGAAGTAACCTGAGTGACCACCTACTGATGAGTCATGATACTCCTTCAATATAGCCAATATTCTCCCAGATCCTTTCGGTAATACCAGTCTCCCCTGGTAGTATAATAGACCTCCCTTCATCTTGTAATCTTGATATTTATCTGGCTGGCTGATTGTGTTTTGTATGAGGTCTTTACATTTCATGTCCTTCTGCAACTCTTCTTCCAGACCCTCCCACTGCTGACATGTAACTGTAGATAAAGCTAATAAGTTGAATTTTCTGGAGAGGGCATCTGCAGCTTTGTTTTCACACCCTGGTTTGTATTTTATGATGAAGTTATAACCCATGAGTTTTGCTATCCACTTTTGTTGATCATCTCCCATGATTCTCTGTTCAGTCAAATATCTCAGACTTCTCTGGTCAGTATGAACTTCAAACTGTCTTCCTAGCAGATAAGGCCTCCATTTTTGGATGGCAAAAACTATGGCCATCAACTCTTTTTCATAGACTGATTTGGTGAGATGTCTGGGAGAGAGTTCCTTGCTCATATAAGCAATGGGCCCACCTTCTTGCATAAGGACAGCCCCCAATCCTTTCCCTGATGCATCGGTTTCTACCACAAACATTTGATTGAAGTCTGGGACCCTCAGAACTGGTAGAGAGATCATAGCAGTTTTCAGATCTTCAAAAGCTCTATCTGCCATCTCATTCCACTTAAAGCCATCCTTCTTCAATAGAGTAGTTAGGGGTGCAGCTATTCTGCTATAGCCTTTCACAAATCTTCGGTAGTACCCCGTTAAACCCAAAAAACCTCTCAAACTTTTCAAATCTTTGGGTACAGCCCAGCTCTTCATAGCCTCAATTTTGCTGGGATCAGCTGCTACTCCTTCTTTAGAAATTATGTGACCCAAATAGTTCAGTTTATCTTGGCCAAAAGAGCACTTCTTCAGATTAGCCACTAAACCATTCTTCTTTAATGCCTCCAAGACCATCCTTAGGTGTTCCTTATGATCTGCTCTAGTTTTGCTGTAAACGAGGATATCATCAAAGAACACCAATGCAGATTTCCTTAGGAAAGGCCTTAAAACCTCATTCATAAGTGCCTGAAACGTGGAAGGTGCATTCGTCAGCCCAAAAGGCATAACCAAATATTCGTAATGGCCTTCATGGGTCCGGAAGGCAGTCTTATGTGTGTCAGCTGCCTTCATCCGAATCTGGTGATAACCAGATTTTAAATCCAGCTTAGAGAAAATCATGGCACCTCCTAGTTCATCAAGAAGCTCTTCTATCACAGGGATGGGGTATTTATCAGGTACAGTTACTTTATTTAAGGCTCTATAGTCCCCGCAAAATCTCCAGCTACCATCCTTCTTTCTGGCTAATAGGACTGGGCTACTATAGGGACTGTTGCTATGTTTGATAATTCCAGAACTTAGCATTTCACCAATAATCTTCTCTATCTCATTTTTCTGATCAAAAGAGTACCTGTAAGGTCTCAAATTAGGAATGCTTGCCCCTTCCTTGATGTTTATGGCATGGTCACAATTTCTTTCCGGAGGAAATTTCAGTTGAGAAGTAAACACTTCTGGGAATTCAGCTATTACACTTGCCCATTCTCCTCCTGTGCTTTGATTCTGTTCCAGCATACTCATATGACCTCCCTGACACAACAAAAACCCATCTCCTGTTTGTTTTAATATGTGTGTCATAGTTTTTAAAGATACCTCCATTTGATTCATTGATGTGTCCCCTTTAATGGTGCAGGTAACTCCCTGATGCTTCCATTTGATGATCAAGTTTTTGAAATTCACTTCCATATCCCCAAGTGCAGACAACCATTCCATACCAAGAACTACATCAGTGCCTCCCAATTCTATTAGGTAATAGGTCTGCTGAATCTCAACCCCTTGCACATTCAAACCCACTCCTGCACACTTGCCATAGTTAGGTATGCACTCCCCATTGCCAATTTGCACTTTGTATCCCAGAATTGCAGTATAAGGTATTTTCCATCTTTCCACCAAGTCTTGTGAGATAAAATTGTGGGATGCACCACTGTCAATAAGTACGTTAACTGTGTGTTCTCCATCAGGCCATCTCATCATACCTTTTACCTTAAATGTTTTCATAGAAGGTATCCCTTGCTTGCTTAACACAGATAGCTGCATGGTTTTTAAATCCAGAGTTATAGTTTTATCATCTCCAGGCTCCAGTGATTCAGCTTCTGATTCAGTCTCCTCCTCAGATTGTTCCACTAACATCATTCTATAATTCTTCATCTTGCATACATGTCCTTTACTCCAATCTTCCCCACACTTGAAACACAAGCCTTTTCTGCTTCTTTCTAATAATTCACTTTGAGATAATCTGGGGCCCTTTTGCTTATCATTCTGAGTTATCGCATTGTCAGGTGGTTTACTCTCCTGTATGTTCTTCCCAGAACCTGTGGTAGCCATAGGGTTGCTCCTCCATTTATTACTATTTCCCCAATTCTGCTGCTGATTCTCAGATCCGGTTTTCCCATTCCATCTCTTCTTGCCTTCGTCTTTGTTCTTCCTTATCATGACTTCATTGTTTTTATTCTCAATCAACAAGGCTACATCCATGACTTTAGCTAGAGTTCTGGTACTGTATAGTTTCAATTCAGCTCTAATATCTCTCTTGAGTCCTTTCAGAAATATTCCTTTCAAAACCTCTTCACTAAGATGCTTTTGGGAAGCCATAGCCACTTCAAACTGTGCCCTGAACTCAGTAACTGAACCTCTTTGCTTCAAACTGAGCAAAGGTCCCAATGGATTCTGCACGAGGTCAGGTTGGAACCTCTTAGTCAACGCTTCTTCAAAATCTTCCCAATTCGTCTGTAAGGCCTGTCGCTCCCACCATTGAAACCAACTAAGTGCCTGATCTTCCATAGCAATCACAGCAACATCAATCTTTTCTTCTTCCTTGGTATTGTTCAGCCTGAAGTAACGATCCATTCTAACTAACCAACCGAAAGCATCTTGGCCATTAAAGAGTGGTAGGTCGATTTTCCGACCTGTTTGATGAGTGCGACGGCTTCTGTGGTGGTCGTTATTCATATGCGATGAAGAATATACCGATTGATCATCGGAATTATCAGAATCGTCCGATCCCTTCTTATGGTTGCGATGAAAAGTTCGATGCGAAGAGTGCGACGTATGCGATCTACTTCGCGATCGATTCCTTTCTCTCTCCATCAACGCCGCGAAATTGGCTTCCATCGATACCCTGTTCGCCTCCATGGTTGCAGCCATTTCTCGTTGAATCCGCTCAATTTCATTCATTCTTCCTTCCATTTTTGCACGCGTTAAGGTCATCCAGCGCACAACTGGTCTCTGATACCAATGTTAGAGAAGCGCAGGTTCAGAACAGAAATCAATAGAAAATTCGAACTAATCTATAGAGAAATTAGCTCAAGAACAATTCTGCAACTTTATTCAAGTAAGGTAAACTGTATACAAGTCCCAAAGGAAAGAGATAATACTCGATCCTTCCCAGTCCCAGTCCCAAGCATCTAACAGCCTGCTCTCCCAACCCTTCTTTATTCTATTTATAATTTCGTAGACTAACTGCAAGTAGTTACAACAATATAACAGAAAGTAACTAATAGCGTCTAGCCTACTTATTCCTTCTAGAATAAACTTGGCCGTAATATCTATCTTCCTTGTCAGCATTGACCGTGTCCCTATCAGTAGTATAAGATAAAAATTAAATAAGAACATAAGAAAGATTTAAAAGATAAAAAGATAAAAGAACATAAGAAAGATAAAAGTTAAAATAACATAAGAATATAGAAAGAGAAGATAAAAGATATTAGAAAAAGAGCGAGAGAAAAGAGAAAAAAGATCAATCGTCCACGCGAACGAGATTGAAAATTTGATGGATGCTGAGATCCTTTAATTTCTGATTATTCACTTATGTGACTAATGTGTTTATTGTTTTAAACTAATGGCTGGTTTTGTCAAATTAACTTCCAGGTTGAACAACTGCATAAAATCTTTAAACTCTGTGGTTCACCATCTGATGAATACTGGACAAAATCAAAACTGCCACACACAACCATTTTCAAACCTCAGCAACCTTATAAACGTCGGGTTGCTGACACATTCAAAGATTTCCCTCATTCGGCATTATCCATTCTGGAGTCTCTTCTTGCTTTTGAACCTGAGTGTAGGGGTTCTGCATCCTCAGCTCTTCAAAGTGAGGTCAAATTTTCCCTCCAACTATCAATATTTTACTCCCCCTTTTTATCACTATTTTTTCCTGCAAAAGTTTCGTAAATAGGACTAAAACACAACACATCATTGTTTTCCCGAAAATAGAACTGATTCACTCTTATAGAAGATTTATCAAGTGATCCATTGATACAAAGTGGAAGGCCCATTTTTCCATTTTGGGGTGTCTTGTGTCCCAAATTAAAAGCTCATTTCCCTTTTTTGAAAAAGACTATACATAAAATACCAATTCTATTTTTTTCTATTTTAAATCTTCAAAATTACCTTCCCTATTTTCCTAGGGAAGGTAAAAGAAGGGTTATCTAAAAAATTTAACATACTTTCGTATTCTTTTTACCCATAATGTTTGGGGCTTTCTATTTGGGATGGAGGAAATACTTTGTAGTCTTTTTAGGACTGAATGAGTATCTTAAGCACGAAACAAGGATACTCCTATTAGTGCACATGAACCATTTTTTACTTATTTTATTCCTTAGATGAGAGGACAGCCTGACAATCATTTGGTGTTTAGTACTTTAGCTATTTACCCTTCAATCTAAACCATTTATCTTTTGATTCTACTATTGAAAATTTTCCGCTTGTGGCCCCACAAGGCCACATCTATTAGGACATTCCCAATTTTGGTCCCGGCTTTCATTTCTTGCACCTTTTCTGCCAGAATATGGATTCCATGTCATCATATGTCCTTCCATCACTCACCCAGCCAAATTCTGTTTAACTTTCAGTTCTATCTTGCCCGCTAATGATCAAAACGGACCAGAAGTGGCAAGAAAACCATAATTGTTCGTGAAAAGTGGTAAGAAATGAAAGTTGGGCATGAAAAGTGGAAAAGTTTCTCTTAGAATTCTATATATGAATTGAAGTTATGTCCGGAAACATGGTATTATGCAACTTCTACAAGTATATTCATGGAGCTCACATGTTTTTTATAAACTTTTTCAGTTCTTCACAACACAACCTCTTCCATGTGATCCATCTTCTTTGCCAAAGTACCCGCCAAGCAAGGAATTTGATGCCAAGATGCGTGATGATGAAGTGAGACGGTAAATACGCTTTTTCCTTTTATTCCTACTCTATGTTCTAACATATAATCCTATCACAGAGTATATATATTTCTTTTTGTTACTGTTTCACTGTTATGGTTTACAAGACTTCTTATTCCCTTATCCGGGAGTATGGTATGTGACTGACTCCCTATGGGTCCATTTGGAACCTGGAAAATAATAGGGAAAAGAAATAGGGAGTATCATTGGGAGGAATGAAAATTTTGGCGGACAAATCTATTGTTACAACTTTTAAACACAGTGATGTCAAGCGGGCTATAGCAACGCTATAGCGGAATAGAGGAGCGGGGGCTAGGCGCTATGAGACTGTCTATAGCGGAGCAGTTGGCAATAGTGGCTGTAGCGGGTGCTATAGCGGGAAGAATAGCGGCTGTAGCTGGCTCTAGAGTGCCGCTATAATTTACAGAGCTACTTCAGTGCTAGTTTTGAGGGAATTTGGGAGTACTTTTTACTTTTGGGTGTTTTTGGAGTAAAAAATAACCTCAATACACCCTCTAAAATAACCCAAAACAGAAACCAAGATCAAACACAACCTATACCATACATCTCCATGTTATGGTAGTTCAAGGCATCCCAACAACCATGATTTTCTTATAATGGATACTAATGATGCAAATTTATCAAGCTTTATATGGATCTTGATTTTTACCCCCTGTATGGTTGGTGGATTTAGGAGGAAAGGGAAGGGGAGGAGTCATATTTAAATTTAAAATAATTTTTCCATTTAGACAAATTCAAATAAAGTGAAGACAAAATAGTATATAAAAATACATGGTTTAACTAATTATATAGTTATTTGAAGTTTAATACTAAAAAAATCAGATAAATTAATAAAATAAAAAATCAATCCTCCCTTTCCCTCCCCTCCGAATCCCCCAACCATACTGGCCCTTAATGTTTAGAGGTGAGGTACTTCAATTGTTTGTTTGTTTTTGTTTAAGACTCTAATGCCTCTTTATTGGCTATTTTGTGAGTACAAATTTCATGGCATTTGAGTAATACGAAGTATACTTGTGGCGTATCATTTCTTGGAATTGAATAATTGATACGTGCATGCCAAATGATGACATGTAATTGTATGCATACATATAATACTCCTCCCGCTCCCCTATAAATGTCCCATTTTTCCATTTTTGGATGTCTCCTATTATTGTCTCATACCATATTTGGTAACATTTGTGTGACTCTAATTCATTCTTACTTTATTCCCACTTTATCAACCACATAATTCTACTTTTCTTAAAAAAACCACACCACTCTCTTCCGTCCCAATATTAGGGGGACGGAGGTAGTACATATATATACTGTTAAATAGCGGTCATCCCGCAATCACTATACTGCTGTATCGTTTTCAGGGTTGGCCGCTACGCTCCGCTATCCGTGATTGACAACACTGCTAGTTAAAAATCCAAGTATTCCCTCTGTATTCTTTTGTTTGCTATTCTTTCCTATTTGAGATGCATTTTAATTTCCGCTACACTTTCCGTTTTTGATAAGTTTTTCTTTAAAAATACTCAATTACACTTACTATTTCTACTTTTTCATCTTCTCTTTCATACTTTTCCACATTCTCTCCTACTTTTTCTACACTATTCATTACTCCTACTACTTTTCCCTTAAATATTGTGCCAAACCCTATCGTAGAAAACAATAGAATACAGAGAGCGTATACGTCAAAAAATTTAACCAATATTTCATTTGCCTTTTTCATTTTTAAAGGCAAAGCCAACCTCAATAAATTAATTTTCTTAACATTTGTTTTCCTTTCCCAAACATTTTACTGGATCCAAAAATAACCTAGTGGTCTATCTTAATGGCTAGGCAAACACCTGGCTGTAATAAGGATGCCAAAGTGTCTAAAGCTTTGCCAGCACCAGATGCCAACCTTGAGTTGAGATCATCCTTGCAGGTAATTTTCTGTCTTAGAAAAAAGGGGTATCTGGGAAGTGATTGGTTCAATGGAAGTTGGTGATGTTGACTGATTTTATCATGGGCCAAAACACTCACTGCTAAAAAAGTGTTTGGTAAGTGACTTGTTTGCCTCAAGGAGTCAGCGGTCTCGATAAAAAACAGCGATAGAATGAAACATAGGAGAAGCACTTTTAATACCAGTCGTTTTGGAAACTAAACCTCAAAATATCCTTATATAATTATAAATATTATTATTATTAATAACACATAAAATATTCAATCTACAATTTTTAAAAGTAAAAACTATTTCAGGGTTGCTGTTTATAATCTTTCTGTAATTTTATAGTTTAAGTTGTTTTCTATATACCCAATTTTGTTTTGGGAATGGGGCTTGGATGTTGTTTGTTATTGTAAGTTGTTTTCTATATGCTTTTTCTTGATGAAAATAAAATATTACATGAATTGTTATAAATAGTACTCCCTCTGTCCCGCTATGATTGTCACATCTTTCCTTTTCGGTTCATCCCACTGAGATTGTCTCATACCAAATTTGATAAAATTTGTGTGGTTCTAAATCATTTTTACTTTATTCTTTCTTTATTCATTCCATATCAATCACATAAACTCACTTTTCTTAATAGCCTTAGCCGCACCACCTCCTCATGTCCTAATGTTAGTGGGACGGAGGTAGCATATATTAAGGAGTAGTACTTATAAAATAAATAAAAATAGTACATAGAATGTATTAATTAAAAAATTATATACATTTTTTCAAGCGTCGGGATGATAGACATCACATTTTCATTTATAATGTACGGAGTATGAAAGAACTACATACATATATTGTATATAGAACAACCATATAAGATTTTGAAGTGATCTCAGGACATGTTATTCTTCACTTTGCTTGGTATTTAGAACTTCCAAGGGCAGTCAAACTCCAAGTGTGTCAGCGAGCAGTATGATCCCGCAGAAAGGGGTAGTTCAGTCTTTCCGGATGTGCCGTCTAGAGGCTCTTTACATGGTGATCATTTTGCGGGTCACGGGGGATGGCACAAGGTTGGTTCTCTGGGCTATGGTGCAGAGCTGAGAACACAGAGATCATACAGACCTCAGGGAGGAGGAGCTGAGCTATCCCGATTCTCAAATTCAATGGCAGCTAGTTGTGGTAGTTCTAGATTTCATCTCACCAAAGATGGTGGCATCCAATCACATTGGCCCAATAAGCAGTTTGGAAAAAAATATAACCCATTAAATGATCCAGAGTCTTCTCATTCTTTGCTTGGGATAAGAGGAAATCACGGCTCCAAAAAGGACACACATCCACCTAGAAAGGAGTATACAATGGTAAGGATCTAATATGATTTCCTATAGATTCATCACATTGGTGTGTGTGTTTGGAACACGGAAAATGGTAGGGGAAACAAAAAAAATCTGACATGTCTTTATATTAGTGAAAGTAACGCATGCACGCACTTACATACACGGTGAAAAGTGTGTAATAAAAAAATAGTAATTGAATTTTAGCCAATAATTTATATTCTCTACTGTATTTTCTTTTCTTCCATTTTCCTTTTATGTTTTCTTCCCTATTTTGTTTCCCAAGTATTCAGAGTTCAAGGTCCGTTTGGAACACGGGAACTACTAGGGAAAGAAAACAAAGATGAAATTAGAGACTATATAATTGGAAAGAAATAAAAATTTAGGGGAAATTAAAAGAAATTCTCAAACTCTGATAAATTGATGTTAGATGTGTCTTCAAACTCAATATATGTTTATTTATGGAGTAAATTATTAAACTGTAGGAAAAGTTGTCCTAAGTTATGTAAAGACATGAGTCTAAATATACTTAAATTTAAAAAATAATGATAATAATATCTTGTTCTCCTTTACATCCCCTCGGTAATGCCAAATAAAAGAAAACTTTACATGTGTGGCATTCGAATTTGCTAATCGTTTTACATATTTAAAATTCATATAATTCTCCACAGGGTTTTGGTTCAAAGGGTGCCCGAATGCACTACTCTGGCCCTTTGCTTACACCAGGAGGAGACATAGAAGAAATCCTTAAGGAGCACGAGAAACAAATCCAAAATGCAGTCCGCAAAGCTCGTCTCAATAATACCAAACCAACACGAGTATACAATGACCAAACATCATCTCTACTGCATTATGTGGGGACAACAGGACGGTGAGGCAAAGCAATACACAGTGTTTGGATAAGAAGAATTTGCATAGTGCAGTGACAAATGTTCAAAGGGGTAAAAAATTGATTGCCTGGTTGGGAGAACTTCTCTTTTGTACAGTGTATGGTTTGATATCCCTTTTGTATTAAGGAGATGATGAGTCAGGTCGCTTCCAAAAGTGCATATGAGGATTGTACATATAGAGCAAGGGGCGGCGGGGGCACAACATATTCGTGGTATAGGAGGCTGGTGTGCACCAAGCGTCAGATTTCCCAATCTTTGATGTATTGTATATTTGTTGATCACAGCTTGCAGTTTTTATTGGAAGATGTTAGGTCAGCATCTGGGAACCTGGCAGTGTGATGAACAGAAGGAAATATCTTCTACTGAGTAGTTTACAATCTTTACTTCGTCATTCCTTGCCCCTGTGATTTTGTTCATGGAGTTGATGCTAACTATGCCGTTTAAAAGAAAAGATACATGAGATCCTCTAAATATGCCGTTTAAAATTGGGAAAAATTGCATTTATATAAGTAGAAATTATCCTAAATAGGATTAAAAAAGTTTGTAAATTCTAAAATAGTACTATCATGTCTTTATTTCCTAAATATGAGTAATTACTGTCATGTTGTGTCAGTATCAGACTTTAAACATGATCGTATTTTTCAAGTTTGACAATAATTACTTTTATTTAGGGAATAAAAAAATGACGGTCCTATTTTGAAATTCTCAAACGTTGTACACAACTTGTACACTATAAGTCTACAAATTTATAGTTCTCATTTTTTCATTTTTTCCTCCTCTCCCTTCTCTCTTCCCTCTCTACCTAGCCCATTTGGATAACCAAAAGAAGATTGAATCATTTTTTCTCTCTTCTCCATCCCCCTCTTTCCTTCTCCATTATCTTCTCCACTTTTTTATATCCATTTTTTTCGGCTACTTGCATAAAATCAACTTATTTATCTATTTTCCATCTATTTTTATTATTTTCCCATTATTTCACATGGCATCAAAGCCAAATCAATTTATGGTTTGGGCCCCCTTATGAAAAATGATGACATGATTAAAAAAAGACAATGACGAACCGACGGAAAAAATGAATGACGGCACGATCCAGATGAAGTGTCTGATCGTGAGGAGGGGTGTTGAAGTCCCCCACTGGAAAATTGTGAAGCAACAGGTTGACCTTTTAGGATGAAATCTCAGATCTTAACATGGTATCAACAGTCCAGCCTCGACCACCGACAGCCCAGTCCATCCAACCCCAGAACACCACCAAGCCAAGTCACCCTCATTGCCAGACCCATCAGTCTGTCCACCCGACCCCAGAACTCCACCAAGCCCGATCCACTTCTATATTCCCTCGGCCCAGGACAGTCCTTTAGCCCGTACCCAGCTCATTTTCACCACGCCTGAAGCCAGTCCATTCACCCATGCGTCCACCCCACTACCAGTCAAATAACAATGGCTGACTCATCTCCTCCGGTCAGCCCACTGTACTCACCACCCTCTGCCAGTGTAAACAGCCTTGGAACAGTGCTAGCACCACACTCTAACCCCCCCTTCCCCCGATAATGTCCATTCGATGTAAACTCGGGCAAAATCGGGAATTTTTAAACCAAAATCAATTTTTAATTTAAACGTCGGTTGTTATATCATCGTATCCTACTTATTTTTCTGAGGCAAATAAACATTTAAAATGGCATGAGGCTACGGCAGAGGAATTTAATGCACTTATTGCTAACCATGTACACTTGGGATTTGGTACCGTTTGATAATTCTAAAAATATTGTTGGATCTGAATGGATTTTTAAGACAAAATATCTTTCTGATGGGTCTATTGAGCGCCACAAGGCATGAGTAAGCTGGTGTAGATTTTAATGAGCAAGCTGGTGTAGATTTTTCTGAAACTTTTAGTCCCGTTATTAAACCCACCACTGTTCTTACTTTAGCTATTTCTTTTGGGTGGGTTATGCGTCAACTCGATGTTAAAAATGCTTTCCTGCATGGTCATCTCACAGAAGAGGTTTATAAGCGTCAACCGCAGGGGTTTATTCACCCTCAGTATCCTCATCACTTGTGCCGACTGCCCGACTAGGCAAGGCTATTTATGGTCTTAAACAGGCCCCGCGGGCATGGTTTCATAGGTTCAATAGTTTTCTACTTACTCATTGTTTTTATGTAGTAAGTCGAATAATTCTCTTTTAATTTATCGCCAGGGCGCTTCACTTATTTATTTACTATTATATGTGGATGATATTATTATCACTGGCAATTCTTCCTCTGTTGTCTCTGCCCCCTTATTGCTCATCACTTTGCAATGAAAGACTTGGATGATCTTCATTATTTTCTTGGCATTCAGGCAACTCGTAACAGTAAAGGTCTGTTCCTTTCTCAGCACAAATATGTCTCTGACCTTCTATCCAGGTTTCATTTATACATTGTAAAGTCTGTTCGTACTCCTCTTGTGTCTCGTACCTCTTTATCTCTCACTGATGGCGAGCTACTCGTAGATGTGACTGAGTATCACAGTTTGGTAGGTGCATTATAGTATTTAACTTTGACAAGATCTGATATTACTTATGCATTGCATTTAGTCTCTCAGTTTATGCATGCCCCATGCACCACTCACCTTTTTGCTGTCAAGAGGATTTTTATATATTTGCAGGGTACCATTGATCATGGTCTGTTGCTCCAGTCTACACCTAAGGCGACTTGTATTATGGCGTCCTGATACTTCTCGCTCCACAACTGGTTATGCTATTTTTATGGGGCCCAATCGTGTTTCTTGGAAGTCCAAAAAGCAACCTACTGTCTCCAAATCCTCTACAGAGGCAGAGTATCGTGTTATTGCTTACACGGTGCAGGACACACTCCATATTCGGTCCATTCTGTTCGAGCTTGGTTTTCCTATCACGACACTGGTACGTTTGTTCTGCGACATCTCTGCTTCATACTTGACAGCAAATCTTATTCAGCATGCTTGGAGTAAGCATATTCAGATTGATTATCACTTTGTTCGTGAACACGTGGCTCATGGTGATCTTGTCGTTAAATATATGCCTACTAGTCTTCAGCTGGCGGATATATTTACTAAGAGTCTCTCTAATCAGCAATTTCATTTTTTAAAAGACAGTTTGCCCGTTGTATCTCCCGCATAGTTTGAGGGGGTGTAATAGCCTAATATTAAATTAGGAATACTTTGTATTTTTGGAAACTCTTATTAGTATAAATATATCTGCCAAGTACCCTATTGGGGTAACCTTTCCCATTATTTCACACTTACAACTACATAACTCATTTGGACATAAATAGACAATTAAATATTTTGTTCACCCAGACAATTAACATTAATCATTTAGACGACTAAAGTAGATCACACAGACAACTATTGTATGTGGGCAATACAACTATTGTCTGTGTAATAATATTTATGGAAAATTTGATAATTAAAAGTGACCAGAGAAAACTAATGTTTGTGAGTCCCACAACTATAGCCCGTGTGGTAAAATCTATTTGAAAAAATCACATTCTGGTCACATAAAATAATTGTTTGTGAACAGGCATTGCATACACAGAGATTAACTTGCATGGCAGTGTCAGTATCAAGCGACTGTCAGTGTACTTTTTGACACGAAAAGTAATGTTCATGGACACAAAAAAGAGTTGTTTGTGCTCACAAGCAGCTCCCATATGCCAGCGCACCAATTGTCTGTGATCGACATATGTGTACAAGTTCTGTGCATTTGTATACAAGAAACATTTATGTTAAACTTTAGCAATATAATAATTAGTATGGAGCATATATACTACATGTGTGGAGTACATGTGCATCTTCTCCTCAGTTGGTTTATTTGTTTGTTCTTTCGTTCATTCGGTTGCTTGTTTGTTTGCTTGCTTGCTTGCTTATTGGTTTACCTACCTACCTACCTGGAGGGCGGGAGGGAAAAGAAAGAAACATTTGTAATGTTGCTAAGTGAGAAAAACGGTACCGTATTTGGGATCGGTATACCATGCGCATGGTATACCAGTCCCACGGTATAATGTACGAAAACTAATGGTTGCTTTAAACTAAAGTTTAAGATAATGATATAAGGACATCCTCATTCATTCATGTGTTTATTTGGGGATCATCTTGATGTGTGAAAGATCTTTTTGGAGATTATGGTTGAAAAGATAAAATTATTTTGAAAGGTTATTTAAAAAATTATTGATGTGTGAAAGATCTCTTATTAAATACCAAATCCTTGATTATTCAAAATTATTCCAATATTCAATAATCAAATTTAATGTTGTCATGGCGTTGAATATGGAATGACTGAAATGCTCCATTAGAATTAACAAGAAACTCCATAAAAGTTTGAGTAAACAGGTATCATTGTTGAGGGGAGTTGAAAATTTTTGACATTATTTAAAAAAAATTATGTGACGATGACATGGCAATGCTAAATTATTAGAAAACGCATGTTTGATGAACATGGATGGAGATACTCAGGGACGGATTTATGTGTATGGGTAGGGGGGCCATGGCCCCTCCCAACTTTTTTATTTTTTAGTAATACTACTATTATAAATGAAATAATCAGTAAAGATTGGGTCAAAACTACTCGATAGAAGCTTTTATGTGAGATGCTTTCGGGTAGAATTTTTTGATGAATTTTTTTTAACATGTATTTCATAAAGTGTATATTATATCCATCGTATTTCAGCTTACATGCAATTGGAGAGTCAATTAAATAAATTATGGAAAAACACTGAATTTTTTTTAATATTTTTTGGTACAGTGTTTTTCAATTATTTATTTAACTGATTTGTCGATTGAATTTTAAACTGAAATTAGATGTAAATAATCTACACATCATGAAGAATATTGTCATAAAATTTCACCCAAAAAATCCATCCGGAAGCACATCAAACACAGACATCCGGATGGTGGATCCCGTCATGTAATTCTGAAAGGATCATTCCTCATTAAAAATATGAAAAAATATGTTTTACTCCTTGAATAGATCTTATTTAGTTCTATTAAAAATTATTTGATTAAAGTTTGCCAAAATAGGAGTCAATAAGTCCTATTTTGAGATTAAAACAATGATAATCCTGTTTATAAACTTTTTTTGTCCTATTTAAAGATTTTTTTCTTTAGTGTTTGTGTTTGTTCTTGGCCCCCCTTATGACTGAGTTCTGGCTCCGTCCCTGGAGATACTCTAAGAATGATCATTAGTTTTCTTGATCCACGTAATGTTGAAAATTGTTTATTGTCCAACCCTTCATAACTAGATGTGGACCCGAGTCGGTCCAACCTCAGTTCTGAAATTTGGACGGCAGTTAACTTGCGGCGGCGATTAACTTGCGGCGGGTCAATGTCAATGGCGGTAACGGGTCACTGATATAGGTCGTGCGTCACTGGCAAAGGCGATGGCGGCAGATAACTGTCACTACTGGATATGTCACTGTTAGTGGCTTGAAGTCACTGAGGGCCCGATACAGTGACCTACTTGATTATCCAAGTCACATTTTTGGAACTTTGTAAACTTGGTCCCATTTTTGTTCAAGACTTTTAGAGCCTGCTTGGTGAGCTTGTTTTTCGACTTATCAAGCATTCAAACTTATCAACTAAGTTTTTCAGCAAAAACATAACTTTTTATTTCGCGCGCGGAATTGTGTGTTATAATAAGAAAAAGTAAGGTTGAAACTAGGGGTGGACATGGGTCGGGACGGTTCGGGATTAGGGTTATCCCGGTCCCGTCCCAATTAATAAGAACGGGACGGGACGGTACGAGACAAACCTTTGTCCTAGTATTGTCCCATTTAAATCGGGACCGGGATGATTCGGAACGGTTCAGGACGGTTTGAGACGTCCCAAACTGACAAAAATAATCATTTGTAATTAATACTCCCTCCGTCCCTGAATTTAGTTCCAACTTTCCCTTTTCGTCTGTCCCAAAAAGAACTTCATTTTCCCTTTTTGGCAAAGAATTTGTGGCTCACGGCATTTCTCTCTCCTCTGCACAACCCTCCACCACACAATTCTCACTTTCTTAATTACTGTGTCACTTTAATTTGGAACAACAATCAAGGACAGAGGGAGTATATATTAGCATTTCTAAAGTATCATGCACCAAAATATTAACATTTTAAAAGTTAATTGATGTTCATCACAAGCTAAAAGCTACTACGTATTAGATTTTAGTTAGGTTTAGCAAAATTTGATATTTAAATTTAAAACAAAGCAAAAATGAATTACTTTATTCAAAATCATGCGTTCTAGTTCTGAGATACTCATATGTAGATATATAATAAAGTGAGGTAAAAACCTATGTTAGTAAATATTTATGTTAGGTATTATTTTTAATTTAAAATTTGGGTTTGAAAAACTAAAAACATGTTATCATTTATTTTTTGAGTTGACATTACAAACTACTCACATACTACAAAATCTATATAATTATTACAAACGGGACAACGGGACGGTTCGTGATAACCTTCCAATGTCGCGGTCCCGTCCCATTTTAAACCGGTACGGGACCGGTGCGGGACAAAATCAATGAGACCCAAACGGAACGGGACAACACCGGTACGATTTCGGGATATACCGGAATGGGACAATGGGATCGGGATTCTTGCCCTCCCCTAGTTGAAACTATTTTTCCGGTTGTATTGGTTGAAATTACTCTATAAGACCATTTTATCTATTTCCGTATTCCCTCCGTCCTTCAAAACTTTGTCAACTTTGACCGCCATGAGAATTAATAAAGTAAAAAGTGTGTGGTTGAGATTTGAGCAGAGGAGAAAGAATTATCTGGAACTAGGCATGGGCCGGGCCGGGCTCCGGGCCGGGCCTGGGCGGGCTTTTGGGTTTGGCTTCGGGCTCGGAACCAGCTCGGGTTTCCACCAAGTCCGGGCCGGGCCAGTCCCTGGGCTTCTTCATTTTTTTTTTTTTTTGCTTTTCTAATTAACCCCCCCCCCCCCCCCCAAACACCCAACCCAACCCGGGAAAAACAAAAAACAATTGAAAAAAAATAGGCCCGAACCGGGCCCAACCGGGCCGGTTTTGGGTGACCTGAGCCCGCCCTATGTAATCCCTGGGCCAGGCCACCGGGCCGGGCCGGTTCCAAACAGTGTCAAGACGGGCCGGACCACGATCCGGTCGGCCCGGAACCGGTCCATCACTATCTAGAACCACAACTTTTTTACTTAAAAGGGAAAATGGCAATGTTAGTGGGACAAACAAAAAAGAAAATTGGCAAAGTTTTAAGGGATGAAGTATAATTTTTTTCTTTATTTTATTAAAAAAGTATAAATTTTACATAAATCAACAGAATCAGCCGATCTAGGTCGATTTCAGATATGTGAATCCGCCAATGCTCTGGCAAGCACCGCGATAGGGGGCTAGGAGCGACCTTCCTCCATGTCCTTCAGCTCAATCGTCATTTGTCTCTCAGGGCGGGATGTTGCACTCACAAGCTACAACCGTAGTGTGGATTTCAAATCAATCGAGGATTAAACTCACCGGCGACATTGCCATCTCAAGATTCTCAACGAGAATTCTTGCTGACCAACAACAGATGAGGTCAATTTCAGATCTGCGAGGGAGGTGACCAACTGGTGAGGCGAAATTGTGGTGGTAGTCACGAACATTTAATGGCGAAGGGGTTACTGCAGCACGGCCAAAAGGAAATCACTAGAAGAAGGCAAAGTTACTTCGAGAAGGGAAAGACTATTTCGGCTGTTATGAGCGCACTAGGTCTCAAGCATCCTTCGGAGAACACCCGACGACGCTGCTTTAAATACCCAAACTGCAATCCAAGCATAAATATGTTTTGGGCCATGCGCGGAGCATGACTGGATCATTCAGTGTGGGTGCAGTTGATCTCGCACGACAGTAATTGGGTTGACTGGATCATTCAGTGTGGACAGAAACTTTGTAGTAGTATGTTGACACCTACTATCTTTACTAGAAAATTCCTATTGGAGTAAAGTGAGAGTTTATGGATTTCTATCGATGAAAGTAGTCATGGACCCGGTTCGGGCCGCCCGGCCCGGGACCGGCCCGCTACTGTGCGGGCCCGGAACCGGCCCAGTTCTCGGGTCCGGGTCGGGCCTAGGCCCAATGGGGGGCGGGTCCGGACTCGGGCCTTGTATTTGGCGAACCGGTCCGGTCGGGCCCGGGCCGAATTGTTTTTTTTTTTTTTTTTCATTTTTGGGGTTCCACCCAGGTTGGACTTGATGGTTAGGAGGGGTTTGGGGGGGTTTGGGGGGGGTGGGGGGGTTAGGAAAGCAAAAAAAAAAAAAAATTGACCAAACCGTAGGCCCGGCCCGGCCCGGGCCGGTCCCGGGCCTTCCTTCCCAAAAAAAAGCCCGGCCGGCCCCGGCCCGGGTCCATGACTAGATGAAAGAAGCAATCCAAAACATGACGCTACTGGACCGTTTGAAAGCTGCAACAAAAAACTCAAGTACGAAAGAAGTTCACGGATTGAACGAGTGTTTATTGCACCCAGAGTTTGGTAGAGTTCACTACAGCGGAAAAGACTTGGTCAACAAGTGATTTTTATAACTTACACAAGGTAACCAGTCACTACGTGCTCCCGGAGTAAGTGAGCACGTTGAGAGAAGGTTAGAGCTACACTAAATTGTTCTGTTATGAAGTTGACCTCTAGGTCGACCACTCGACCAGTCCGACCGGGTCAAGTCTACAATCCTATAGCTTTCCTTGTCAAGTCTTCCTTCGTCACCCCAACAAGGCAACAATCCAAGGGCGGTCTTCCCTTGTTGGCTCCACAATCTTGAGTCTTCTCTTGTCGATCTGTCAAACGTTAGTTGGTCCCTCTCCTGGGATCAGTCAGATCTATTATGATCCCATAACCCCATCTCCACCCACACTATTTCAGATTTCTTAAATACTTGTGTTAATCTCTTGTCACAAATTAATTGGTAAGCATGGTACAATATATACATTTCCAAGAAAATAGTAATAATAAAACTTTCCAACGTCAGATGTTTAAAATTTACTTGAAAGCTAGAGGGAAATAATGGGAGGGGCATAGTCTGATGGATTCACTTTTGGAATAAAATGTATAACAAAAGATACAACATTGTTGTTTTCTTATTCTTAACCTGTTCAGCTAGAGGGAAATAATGGGAGGGGCATAGTCTGATGGATTCACTTTTGGAATAAAATGTATAACAAAAGATACAACATTGTTGTTTTCTTATTCTTAACCAGTTCAGCATTTCAGCTAATTTCAGAAGATAAAAGGCCACCAAACGCAACAAAAACATTACCCTGTGCAAGAAAGGCTCCACCTACGGTGGGGTAAGGATGGATCTGATGTACGAAGCCTTACCTTTGTACTAAAGCATAAAGAGACTATTTCTGAATGATCAAAAAATGAAAATCGGATAAAAAATTGCATGGAGTGATTGTTTCATGACAAAGAAACGCAAACAATTTAGTGAGTCATTTTGCTTTATTCCATCATATTTTCAGGCCAAAAAATAGTGAGTCTTGCCTCTGGCTCCATTGGAAATGATGGAAAAAAGGGCTACCAAACGCAGCGAAGTGAAATTATTAGAGGACTTGTAATGAAATCCCATAAAAGATTCAAATCATTTAACGCAAAGTATTCGGTTTACTTTGTTCCCAAAATCCAAAATCCAAACAGGTTGAAGGGTAGTAGGATATGTGATGTTCCTAAAAACCAATCAAACTCCAATTCAAAAGTATTTTTCATATCCCTCTGTCTCAAACCACTTGGTAATTCTCAGTAACCAGCACAGTTCTTTGTGAAAATTTTGGGGCGGACCCACCTTGAAGTGGCAATATGTTGGTCACCTGCAATAGTGTAAACAATTTCACGTATTTCACATCATGCCAATAAAAGTGCAAAACCAATTTCTTAAATCCAATTCTCTTAGGATTTTTTGTTTTTGAACCAACCAAATTTAATTGTAAGACTAAATCCATTTTTAATCATAATTCTGCTTTGGATATAGACACACAAACTCTTTTAACATTGGGGGGATACCCTTGCCCATCCCAGTGTCTACCCTGCCTGGAATACATCTAACCCGATCATGCACATGGTTCCAGGTACCATATATAACAATAAGAAGACAAGAAAAATGACAAAATGGCGGGTGAGGGGGCAAACCTTCAAGTGGCTATAAGTCGATGAAGAAGTAAAGCGGGCCGATATTGGGAAGAAGGTTGATGGATCCATTGGAGGCACGGTAAATTCTAGGGACCCACTGCACACATTGACAGCACAGACATTAGAAACTAAACAAACAAAGCTGACACCCCTACCACCACGAAAAACTTTATACAGTAGCTTACCTGCTGTTCGAGTTATCAATGAGAACTATCGACCATTCAAGAACAGAGTTCCTGGAGTTGTATCTGCAATGAAAAATTATTTGTTTTATTTTTCCAGAATGATAAACCATTTATTGAGATTCTGTTTTATTTTTCCAGAATGATATCACTTTGATTACAGACAGGGACATGTTCATTAGAGAACAGCTTACCAACATGCCAAGGTGTTTAATTTAAAGGGTAGCTTAACAGCATGTGTTTACCAACATGCTAAAAAATATGGTTGCTTTGGCAATTGACATATTTTCAGAAGAAGTAGAAAGTGGTTAATTATAAAAAACTAGAAATCCTGGCCATTAATCACTAAACAAGCAGTATATCATCACCACCACCCCAACCTTAATCCCAACTAATTGGTATTGGTAACATGAAAGCCATGAAATAGTTGGGATTCAAGTGTTGGTGATGATGAAAACATTTTATGTTGATGACCAGGGCACTGATTTTACAATACTTTACCATTTTATAACTAAAAATAACAATATTAAGTTGAAAAATTAAATATTAACCTCAACCCATGCAAACATATCCATACCCCCTCACATCACATCTAGGAGACAACAATTTTTAACAGACCATAGAGTAGTATTTACCGAGACATCATGGATCAAGCATCAATAATAGGGTATAATCCCTCTGCTGTTGTAGAGAAACAGCATGTGGAGACTTCAAGGTAGGACATAATCTCCCTTCCAGATTATACCAATTATAAAAATGAACTATTTGTTCTGAGCTACTTCTGACTAAATAAAAAAAAAATCCCCAGATAAACTCGGTGGGGGTATTTCTATTTGCTCACGGACCTTTCATGTGTACTTAATTCTGTAAACTAGCATTACAAAGGCTCACCTCCAATCTCCATTAATCTGCTTTACATTTGGGGCATCTCTGAGAGCTGGAAGGGGCACAGAAATTATAACATTCTGAAGATCAATGTTTGCTGGAGTTTCGTATTCAATAGTCATATAGGTTTCCTTTGGGGAAACTGATGGCCAACAGGTAACTGTAATGGGTGAATGGGAGCAATCCAATTATAAAGGAACCAGTAGATTCATTCAGTAACAGAACAAAATAAAGACGAGAATAATTTAGAAATAGACTGATATTTAACATTATTTGGGACTAAACTGTTATCATAATATGAAGTTATTTGTTCGCTCAAGCAAGCAACTATAGTAAATGACTTATTGGAGGTCAAAGACAAGCAAATGAAGCGTACTTGTTAATGGAAAAAAAGACTCATTCGTTGACTCCAGTCTCCATTTCAACAGAGCAACACCACCACCTGATTGCGCAGTGGGAAAAGCCCTATTTGGATCTTTGAGGCCTAGAATATTTTCTCTCAAATATAACTCCTTGTTGACATTAGGGTGTGTCTTGTAATTTATATCACCATTACCACCTTTCTCAATCTGAAAATTGTGCATAATAGTGAGAACAACAACACAATATGTTACCATTTGCAAGAATTAAAAGTTAAAACTATCATGCATCTACAAAGACCACACTGACAAATCTTAAATGGATATGCAATACTGAAATCACTGTTGACTTGTCTTATATATACAGCATGCAGTTAGATCTAGACCAATATGTATAACAGCAAAGTTTTATTAAATTAGATGTTACTCAACAGGAGAAAGACTCAAAAACTACAATGATATTTTACATGACATACTTGTGCAACCAAGAGGAAAATATAAAGCTATTTACAACATATATTTTTGTAAAAACTTTATCTAATATTCCCTCCTTACAAGTTACAAGTATGCTTGCCCATTTGGTTCTTACTTCACTAACTCAATGTCAAGCACACAGCCTTACTTTACCTTGATTGTGTGACACGTTACTCTACTACAAACTTAATGTGATAGAGGAATTTAGGAAGTACATGAAAATTACGAACAAACCCAAATTCTCAAAAATACAAGTGAAGAAAGAAAAGCTGGTTTAAATAATAAGTTGGGACTAAAACAAGTAAACAGTACACAGAGCACTAAATTGTCTGATAAAAAATATCTCTTCCATTTAAATGAAACTAGAATTATTGTATTACCTCCGTCCCAATGGACTTTGCACTAATTGAGTTAGGTGAGAAACAAGCATAGTAAAAATTGTGTGGTTGAAGATTGTGCAGAGGAGAAAGAAATGAGCAGAACCACAAAATAGTTACTTTAATGGGAAAGTGGCAAAGTTTTTTGGGACAACCAAAAAAGGGAACTTGGCAAAGTCCAATGGGACGGAGGGAGTATATGCCAACAATGGTCATAATAACTAACTGAATGCTCCCTCTCCCCGTAAATAATCCCCACTTTCCTTTGTGGTCCATGAGTAGTTCCTAAATCATCCACACTTTCTTTTAGAAAAGCATTACGGGATTCATATGTATTCTCTCCTTTGATTAAAATACAAAACATAAAAAATCACATCTATTCTTTAAATGGAAACAAAATCTTTTACTGAATTTTTGCAATAGACATTTCTTCTCTATTTTCCGATCCCTTTTAAACTTTTTTTATGGGGTTATCTTTCAAAAGATTTTACTATAAACGAAAAACTAATGAGATTAAAAGAAGAAAAATGTAATCCACTCACAACATAATTCATAAAATTATTGCCTCTGTTTTGTCCCTATTTTATTGGGTTCAATGCCGTCTCCCTTTTCGCCCACTCTTAGGACTGGCTTTATGCCTAGGCCCTCAGAACTTCTAAGGACGCCCTGTTGACAATATCCTTACTTAACCTACCCCACCTCACCTCTCTCTCTTCTTTAATTACCCAGTTGACATTTATACTCACCCATTACATATCTATCTTCTTCTTTACTTTCCTTCCACCTACAGAAGCTCTCTCGATGATCTATCTTCTTCAATTTATTACCACAGTCTCTTTTCTCTTTTTACCCTCACCATCTTCTTTCTTTTACATCATTTCTCTACCTTTTTATTTCTGTCTAGAAAAAAACAGAGATCAGCAGATCAGAGAGATCTGAACAGAGAAGAGAGATCTTTTGGATAGGCTAGTTCTCCCTCGAGATATGATCGTCCCAGACATGATTCTGATAGAGAACTGGACTTATGGGCTTATGGAGTGAGAAGAAATAATACTGAGTATTTTAATAAAATGTAATAGTGGGCTGGCCCATTAGAAATAGAATAAATGAGAGTGGTGAGGAGATGGGGAGGGGAACTTTGGATCTGGACTGGGACTTGGGAGTGTTGAGACTACTCGAAGTGTCTCTATCGTTTCTTTTCTTCTTTCGGTTCTCTTTGCACGACAATTTCCATCATCGGCCATTGTAATAGCTTATGTACTCCGTTTTCCAGAATTAATATACAGTAATTTGTCTGGTTCCTATCAGATTCTATATACTTCCTCACATGTTATCTCAGCAATAAAAACACTGGACGTTCAACAACAATCACAAGGACACCAGACGTTCATAATTAATAAAGGAGTCTACAACAACATTGAAGTCTTAATCCCAAAAGAATTTTTTTGAGTGCTAACATTAATCGACATCTGAAATCGGAGTTAAGAAAGACTAGTGTAGTACACGTGCACGGTAAGAACTATTTTCCATGTCAAAGATTCTAGACACATCACATATATCATAGTTCTATAAAATAAAATGAAAATACTAGTAACTTTTTCACAAATTTAAATCTTATTTACAATGACAAGTAGGTTGTAATTTGGAATTTTAGATTATAAGATGGGATTGGTGTAACATGTTTTTCAATGAGAATTTAAAAAAAAAAAAAAATCTCAATCTTTCATTTTATTTTTGTAGGACAAGTTGAGAACAACTGTGACATGCATGTTAAAAGATTATCCTTTGACCAAAATATGATTAAAATCTTTTCTTCCAATGAATTTACTGAATATACCTATCTTGGCTATCTCTGATTTTTAGATTTTATTAATAAAAATATATTTTAAATATTTTTTCATAATTCACCAGATTCAGTCAATTCAACTGGTGCATTTAGAATTTTCACTAATTTAAACCGATTCAGCCAATTCTGTCAATTTCGATATTACCATACATACTCTCTATTTCATGTACAGGCTCCCCCCTATAATAAGATCTATGAGATATCTCTTCTAATTCACTTTTACGAAAATGCCAAATTTGTGAAGTGTTCTTATAAATACTTCCTCCGTCCCAAATTGATGGTCCTATACTTTTTGGGTTCAAATATTAAGAAAGTGGGCTAGAATGACTCATATAACCTTACTTTATTGCACTGTTCATTCTTTTTACTTTTACTGTTCATATAAAGTAGGGGTATAAATGGAAATTTACTTTAATTTCCTTACCATAAAGGGAAATATGACCATCACTTTGGGACGGAGGGAGTAACATTTTTTTTTTCATTTTCTGCTTTAACGAACTACCAAATAAGCTAGGTAATATTACACATTAAGAGACCGTTTGGTAAGCATGATTTTTGGCTTTTCAGGCTTATCAGTCAACTTTTTCACCAAACACGTAACTTTTGATTTCGCGCGCTAAATTGTGTAATAATAAGAAAAAATAAGGAGAAATTGACATAAATAATCCCTACTTTTATGCATTTTACAAAAATAATCCCTACCGGAAAAGTTTACAACAATAATCCGAACTACTTAACTCTTTCACAGAAATAAACCGGAGATAACGGTGTTAACTTTTCCGTTAGTTTTTTTATTGCATTTTAAATATAATGAAGCAAAAATATGTACAAACTCCAACATTATTATATACTTCGTATATTTGTCCTTATATTTACTTTTATTATGAATTAAATTTAATAGTCATTATTTTTCATAAAATGAAATAGAAATATTTAAGAACACACTCATCAAATTCTCATTTTTCTTTTAGTTCTAATCAGTATTTTATTTATATTCATTTTTATTTCATTGTATAAGAGATTTAAAATTAGTTTTAGTAATTCTATACGAAGTACTACGTATTAAACATTACCACATACTAAAATGAATACAAGTCTTTATAGTAGAAATAGTTATTTTACAAAAAATAGTTATTATTAAATTAAATTTATAGTAGAAATAAGACTAAACAAAAACATAATATTATTAATATTTTTATATATATTTGCTTCATTTTATTTTAAATTTTAAAAAAAAAATTAACGGAAAAGTTAACACCGTTAACTTCCGGTTTATTTTTGTGAAATAATTATCCAGTTGGGATTATTGTTGTGAACTTTTTGAGTAGGGATTATTTTTGTAAAATGTCTAAAAGTAGGGATTATTGGTGTCAATTTCACCAAAAAATAATGTTGGAGTTACTTTTCTGACTGTATTGGCTGAAATTACTGTAGAGAACCATTTTAGCTATTTTCATATAATTTTTTTCTTTATTTCATTAATAAAATATATTTTGAATATTTTTTTCCATAAATCAGCTAAATCAGCCAATACAACCACTTCAGCCAGAACTTCATAAATTTCAGCAGAATTAGCCAATATAACCGATTTGGGTATTACCAAACAAGCCCTAACTCCTTACAATCTGTTTAGCTAATTCTCCAACTAGTCTGTACTAAGTAGTCAATTTGGGTAATATCGACTACTTATGAAGTCTATGTGATGAAATTTTATAAGATTTTTTTGTCAAAGCAATTTGAAGAGAACTTCACAAGAAGTAACTTATTGATCTATTTTTATGCATGTATTTTTAAAGCAAGCTGATTTGTATCTAATTAACTTGGTGATAATTTAATTTTGGGAAAACTGTCAAATAGACCCTCGTACTATAACAGAAATGTCAATTGAGCCCTCGTACTATCAAATTACCCAATCAACCCCTCAAAGTATTAAAACAAAAAATCTCGCATTTTTACTGATTAGATACCGGTTGTGCTGGTAGCCGCTGACGTGGATTGCCAAGTGGCATTATTTTTTTTATTTTTAGCCAATTGAGCCTTATCTGACTTTGTTCATTCGTTTTACCAATCCTTATCACTGTTCATCTTCTCAAATGGGGAGGGGGGGCAATCGTGAGGGTTGGGTTCATCTTGTTTGGTAAAAGAAAAAAAGGTAACTGTCTTTTCTTTCTTATTTATCAACTTATCAACTGAACAGATATCAGCCTTTATTCTCTTCTTTGTCATACCTGGGAAGAGACACCAAAATTCAAATTGGCAAGTATGAACAAATACATGTGCTCATAATAGGAAAAAACCAAGAAACGAAAACCCGAAGAAATCACAAGAAAAAGTAATAGAATAGACTGAAATTCCTGAATCCGAATTAGTGGAGTTAGGTTTAAATTCGGCTACTTCTCATGGTTTGCTGGAAAATTCTGCTGCTACTCACCTCTTCATCTTCTTTGAAATGCAGCAACAACCAACGATTCCGTCTCCCGTTCGCAGCTCTCTAGTCACCAAAGATAGAAATGTAGCTCTCTGGTCGCTTCCTGTACGCCAGCGACTTTGTCTGCTGTCTGAACTAATTTTCCTCCATTTCATCTTCCCGGTCTTCTTTTTCTTTCTGACTGGCGGTTTGACCGGCACGGTCTTTCTCTCAAGAATCTCTGCTTTCTTCCTCTCTTCTCTCCTTCATTCTCTCCCTTTTGTTGGCTTCACTTTTCAATTTTTAGTTTTCTTTTTTGTTGGTTCCATGTTTCCGTTTTCTGAGACTTTCTAAGAGGCAGATGGAATAGTAGGAAGAAGAGCAATGGAAGACAATTGTGGAGGAAGGAAAGAATACAAAAGAGATGGACTTTATTAAAAATTAGAATGAAAACAAATGCGAAATGGCAGACATGTAATAGGATTACTGAAAACCGGCAGGTGATTGCCTATATGTTATATTTGGTTATCTTTTGCAACTTTGAGGGATTAATTGGGAGTTTTTAGAGTACAAGGGCTTAATTTCCATTTTGGATAAAGTACGAGACTACGAGGATCAATTCGAAATTTTTCCCTTTAATTTTCTATACATGTTTATGTACTTAGTAATTAGCTAATTTATTATTGGTTCTGCTTTTTATACCTAGATTTCATTTGTTTCTCGTTATTTGCTTCTAATTGTTGTTTTTTTGGATTCTTGTTTTTAATTTCTGTGGTAATTTCTAATGAACATAACTCATTGAAGGCGTTGATTATGTTAATTTTGTATAAATTCCATGGACACTTGGATGCACTGTATGGTACTATGGTGTACTTTTGGGGCAATGTAGCACTCTTGGATGTTTAAGTATTTACTCGTAACCAAGGATATAATAGGGAAAACCCAAGCTGGAGGAGGGTTTCTTGATTTCTGCGCCCAACTCAATGTTGCAGCTATTTCCTAATAGTGGTGTCATTTATTTTATTTTTTGTTTTGTATTATGAAAAAAGAAAATAGAGTTTTGTCATTATAATAGGAATAAAAGCTCCTGTTTTGGGAGTTTTAAACTTGTACTCTTTCAATTCATGTCATGAAACTTGTGCTCTTTCTTTCTATAAAATCACTCTGTCCAGTGAAATTGTATATTTATTTGAGGACAGATGGAGTCCATTTTTAGGTTTACATTAGAGAGAGAGAAAGAGGAGGGAATGTTCCTCTCCTATTACTGCAGGACAACAAAGTGAAATACCACAGAAACACCACATGTTACCCAACTTAAGTTTTAATTGGACTTGACCAAATATATCAAGTATTACAGATAAATACACACATGATATGCGGAGATTGTAAGCTAAATGTGAGATAAAAGATAACCTGGACTTGGATAAATCCATCTTCTTGGTTGAGAATTTGAAGATATAAGGTGCCTTGCATGTCAAAATGGCTACCTCCTCCATCACGTTTTAATGTTACATTAAGCTTTTCTTCCACACTAAAGGTGACAGGATCAGTCAGTGGAAGGCCAGCTGTCTTAGACTGACCAGTACTAGGTTTAACATCCTCAACAATAACTTCACCCTCAGCTTTAAGAGATTCCAAAAATTGGTTGGTCTTTTGTGATTTTCCTAGCTGCATACCAAGGACTTTAGAAGGAGCTGTAGTAGGTGCAGTGCGGCCTAATTGTACAGTTTGGAATCCATTATCAGCTCTAACTCCCACAATTGCATCAAAACAAATTTGACATGCTAATATATTCATGACTATATTAAAATTCTATATAGTAGTAAATTAGTAATAATCATAATCTTAAAACATGTCAACCCTTTGATTTGGTGGGGAAAAGATCCATATCAGCATTCAATCCAAAATCACGCCCAGTATTAGTTATGCTTGAATCACTGCTGAAGCCACTATCAATTCTTCCTGAGCTCATTGACTGAATAGACATAAAACCTTTATCACCCCTGTTCTTTTCAATCTACAAAGCAACCAGACAATAACATATATCCAAAATCAGATAAAATGACAGTCCCACTGTATCAGCAACTAATAACTTTCCAAAAAGTCTCCTCGTCTCTTCCATGTGCTATGTCGGGGGGGGGGGGGGGGGGGGGGGGGGCACATGCACTCTAATTCTTACCTTGCTTTTGTCAATCTCACTAGCTTTGCGCTTCATGACGTCCTTCGTTTCATTAATCTTGCTCTGCAAAACCAGCTTGTGCAATCTCTCTTCATGGCTCTCCATTTCACAGTACTGTTTAACTTGTGCAACCGTAACATTCTCCTTATGACCCAACGATATGAGTTCATCGAAGGCAAAAATGAGCTCAAATGCTGTTTTACAAATTCCCTCCTCATCTAGGGGATAACAATATTCAGGTACCTAATACAAGTGAAGGAATTTGGAATTGAATGCAAAAATTTTAAGGATCCTACAACAAAGCATTGTACTAGAGAAGGATATTAGCAGGCTGGAACTAACAGCTCACATGTAATATACGCGTAAGGATGTCATTAATTATTATTATTTATTACTACTACTGTTATATAAAAAATTACAGCATCAGAAAATATAACAATATGCAGCTGATTAAAATATTAAGAAGAGTGATAAATGAGATGATACAAATAAAAATGAAAAGGATACAAGTTTTGAGAGCAGTCTGAGTGTCTCCAAATCATCAAGAATGTTGCTCTGTTTATTAGTCACAAGCAGCAAATACAAAGACTCTATTGGCTGATAAACATAGCGCACGTTTTCAGTCTCAACATAAGTGTGCTGTTTTCCAGATCCAACTAATTTGGGAAATGCAGCAAGATACCCCTCAATTCTTATTTGAGACATGTCCACAAACTGCCTTGAAACCAGCACTGCAAGAAATGTATTAATATGGTCAACTGTACTGACGAAAACAACATATATATCTATAACTTCTCCTATAACAGAACCATGTTGGTCCCACATGGCTATGCCCCCCACCGAAATATACTCTGTAAATAGGGGAGATGGTCTTTCCCATTTTGTTGGAGTTGTTCACCAATAAATTTCCTCACTATTAAATTCTTTCTCACCTATTGTGAATGGGTTATATTACATTGATAGGGACCTGGGCTGTAGAGAATAAAAATAGTAGTAATAGATTGATACTTCCTCCGTTCTTAAATAAGTGCAACACTTTCCATTCTGGGCAGTTTCATTATAAATGCAACACTTCTATATTTGGTAAGAAAAAATAATCACAATGACTATACTACCCCAACACTTCTTTTGTACGCTTAATAAGTCAACCCATCACCTCAAATTAAATCTCCACCCACCCACGATATATCCACCATCCATTTTTCCACTGCGCCTAATAAGCCTTTAAATCTATGAACTAAACCAGGTGCTCTATTAGACAGAGATGAGCGAACAAGAAGCCATGAGGAAGAAGCCATGTATGAAAGAGAGCTAAATAGGAAATGGAGCACTGCTTGTTTTATTTATTCCCTTTGAAAACCCTCCAACTCTCGTTTCTTGTCCACATACGGACCCCTTTTTCTTCTTCCATGCATCTGGGCATTCATCTTCTTTTCCATCTCTGTTATTTTCTTCTCACAATTTTATAGGTCAATTCAAGAATTTGGATGTTGATGAGCTGAATCGGCACACAAATTAAGAATCTCCAGCTTCGAAGGAGTTTTAACATTTGTTGAACCAATATAGTGGCCAATAATACGATTCAGGATATTAAAACTAAATATCTGTAGTTCAAATGATGTTAAACAAATTCAGGAGAGCTGAATCGAAACTAAAATATTGAAATTAAGCAACGATTATTTGGTCTTTCCGGAGTAGGAGCTAAACCAGCAGAGAGAAGAAAAGTTGGGAAGTGAAAGAGATAACTATGTCAGATATGCCTGCTAAAAGCAAGGGCGAATTCGGAAAAAAAGATGTCCGTATAGGTTTCTTAAATCCTGTGCCCACATGCTAGGTTGCATTTATAACCGAACGGAGGATAGTATTAAATAATTGTGGTAGTCTAAAAAGAAGGGTTACGGGCCATGGAAGTCACGGGTTTGGGCCAGCCCTTTGGAATTGAATTGGTATAAGAGTGGGAGGAAGGAAAAAAAGGAGGTAGGCAGAAATTAGTCTGGACCTGGGAGTGCTAAGACCACTCGAAGTGTCTCGATCTGTTCCTTCTCTTTCTGTTGGTTTACTGTTTCTCCATTGCAGTTTCTAAGGAAATTACTGAGCTATTCTCTGAATTCCATACTTAATACACATAAATTCTCTTATTCCGTATCTGGATTTTGGGGTATCTAACATTGGTATCAGAGCAAACGACCCTGGAAAATCAGCGAATGACCTGGACTAGAGCTCGGATGGAACACTGAGTGGAATCCATGGAACACAATGTTCAGGATCTACGATCGACAGTAGATGAGATGCGGAACTGGATGCTGAACGTGGACCAAAGGATGGATGCGAGGATGGAAGAGCTGGTGATGAACCAGAAGCAGCACAGGTCGCGAGGACAATCACAAACACCTAGGAGGAACCACAAAGAGAGTCGGAAGTCCTCAGCTGCAGGAGGAAAGTCCAATCGATCTCAATTGCGAAGTTCGCAAGCTTCATCATCCGCTAGCAGTTCACGACGAAGTGAGACGCGATCGGGAGGAGAAGCTTCTCATTCGCAGATGTCAACCCAAGCCGCTTCAGCTTCGTCGCAAACAGTAGCATCCAGTTCTCAGGTGTCGTCTCAGTCGCTTATATCTTCTCACACGTCCCAGAGTTCGTGGCTATTGTTTCTCCTAGTTCACAGATGTGAACCACTTCTACCCGCTCGCAGATGGCATCTCAAGCGGCGTCTCACAGCGCGCTAGCTTCATCACCAGCAGAGTTCTCCAGTTCACAGACTGTGGCGCAGTCAAAAGTCACTAGTTCTCAGTCAGTCAGTCCCTTGCTTATTCTTACACAGCTTCTCAACATGCGCAAGTTTCTCCGGATTTGAAAACTGAGTTGAAGCTGGTTTCATCAACACCTTCAGAACAGAGCGAAGATGACATTCTTCCAAAGCCAACACTTTATCCCAGTTCGCCTCCAAATGCGAAGCAATCGACTGGAGATGTTTTAAGTTCGCAGGTGAAAGCCAATAAAAGCGAGATATACATGAACCAAGGACCTAGCCGAGTCAGGAGAGAGGCAGAGTTGCAGCTATTCAATGGCGAGGAAAGCTATGGTGGATCTTCGGAGCCAAGGCTTCTGTCGGATGGTGTTCCTGGTGACCCTGGCAAAAATGGAGGACAGGCAGAACATCTGGCGTCAGAAGTGCCTCAAGTTTCTACCCCTGATGTTCATTATGTTGCTGCCAGAATGATAGCGACTTTCCAGAGTTCTGCTATTTTTCTTGCTCTCGTGCCTCTGGATGGAAAGCGCAAAGATGATAGGAAAACACCTCATTTGGCAATTGATAGCAATGAATTCGTGCTCTCAAAATTCATTCCTGGAAAATATAGGGGTGAGGTCAGGAACTCTTTAACAGTACTTTCTGAGGAAGATAAATGGCACTGGGATGCAAATGTTATCAATATCAAGGTTGGGACCAACGGTGTTACAGGACTATCAATTGTGCCGAAAGGAGGCAGGGTTAACATGGTTTATAATCATGAAGTGGATGCTGAACTTGCAGCAACAGACGGGTCTCTTGTGAAATATGAAATAAAGGAGGGATATCAGCACCTAGCTGTGGAATCTCTAGGAGTGCATGAACTGAACTTTCAGAGATCAGGTTTATCCAGTGAAGGAGCATTTCAAGGAGTGGGGTATAACCATGCCAAAGCATTATCATGGTTTTGTAAGGCTATTGATCAGGGCGAGGCAAGGTCAAGGGAATTGCTTAGAGAAATATGTGTAAAAGGAGCAGGTTTGGGGGGAAATCACCCAAAGGCAGTAGGGTCGGCTTATGATAATAAGGAATACTTTTACATGAAGGGTTATGGGGTGAAGAATGACTATATCCTGGTAAAAGAGAATTTTGAGAAAGGTGCTGATAATGATGAGTCTGTGTGGTTCTACAACCTTAGGGCTATCGTATCTGAGGTGAAGAGCTTGGAAAGCATCAGTACTAGTGCAGCTACAACAGCTCTAGATTCTTCCTCTAACTTTTTGAGTGTTGCTATTGGAAACGAATCTGGCCAAGTTCCCTATTACATGCTTAGCAGCAGCTCTGGCTCTGAGAAAACAAGATTGCAATTGATCACTTAACCCAACACTGAAGTTTCCCTTTTCCCAAGTGGTGATAGGTATCAATGCACAACTATCTTTTCGCTTGTCAGTTCCCCAGTATGCATCTTGCAGTACATGGCATCAGGATCCAAATGGGTTATGGGGTTTGAAAGCCGCCAGGTTGCTCTGCTTGATATTGGTTCACCCTCAGTTTTGTTTCTAATGTACAGTCCCTCTAGCTCAAGATCTCTGGTCTTTTCTGCTAAGGCATCTATGGGTCTTCATCATAGCACTGTGAAACCAGAAGGTGGAATCTCATATGAAGTGAGGAAGAACTTGCTTGGTGCTTAGCCAGAGACGGACACATTATATTAATGACTAGCAGCATTGGCAGTTTGATCAATTCACAGCCAGCGCACCCAGAGAAGGATATTGAAAGAAAAAATCAAACAGAACCATCTGATCATGAGGAACAAAACAATTACAAAGATCCCGACAATCAGTGTGTTCTCCTGGCAAGCAAGCTCATGGTTCCGCCATCAGTTAGATACTGGGAAGGAAGAGGTGCTCGGATGAAGATGAAGTTGAACTGTTGAAGATCAAGGCTTTGTCCTATCACCCACCTTGAGGACAAGGTGGTTGTCCAAGGGGGGAGAGATGATAGGGCCCTAGAGAATAATAATAATAGTAGTAATAGATTGATATTAAATAATTGTGGTAGTCTAAAAAGAAGGGTTACGGGCCATGGAAGTCACGGGTTTGGGCCAGCCCTTTGGAATTGAATTGGTATAAGAGTGGGAGGAAGGAAAAGAAGGAGGTAGGCAGAAATTAGTTTGGACCTGGGAGTGCTGAGACTACTCGAAGTGTCTCAATCTGTTCCTTCTCTTTCTGTTCTCTTTGAACGTTGGTTTACTGTTTCTCCATTGCAGTTTCTAAGGAATTTACTGAGCTATTCTCTGAATTCCATACTTAACACACATAAATTCCCCTATTTCGTATCTGGATTTTGGGGTATCTAACATATTACATGTACAAACACACTTACAAAAAGGTGTTACGAAATAGACACTTGGCACGGTGGCAGCATCATAGTTTTTAACACATCATATCACGCTTACACCAAGGGTGATTATATGAGCACATCATTTGTTTGTCAATATGTTTGTACTTCTAGTATTTTCTATTGTGAATGTGTCCACTTCCCTCTCCTCACCCTCCCTCCCTTTATCTCTTCATCAGGTGAAAAAATGATGATAGTAGAAGATTTAAGAAAATAGTCACAAAGCCAAATTCACACACCCACTTCTGCAATCTTGGATCTTCTGATTAGGACAATCAATTCCCAGCATATAAAAACAGACTTTATGAAAAATGAATCTAGCTTTCTGAATCATTCATTCTAAATCTATAATTTTGAATATTAATCATCATCAGTCATCATCATTACCCCAGTGCCGCAAAGGCTCCCACTTTCAATGGGGTAAGGGGGTTGGATGTACACAATCTTACCCCTGTACTAAAATAGGGAGAGACTATTTCCGGATGACTCATAGCGAAAATCGAGTCAAAAATTGTATGAACTGACGGTTGCTTCATAACAAAGAAAGACAAGCAATTTAGTGAACCGTGTTGCTTTATTCCATCATATTCCCAAGCCAAAAATAGTGAGTCTTTAGCTCCATTGCAAATGATGGAAATAATTTTGAAAATTAATCCAGTATAATACTCCCTCTGTCCCTAAATAAACTTCCATTTCGCTTTTCGAGAGTCAACTTAAATCACACTTAAACTCTTACTTTATATATCAAAAATTTATAAAAATTGAATTATTTTTTGCAGGCTTTGTAGCGGGTTTAATGTAGTTTCTGAATATGTAAATTTTATTTACTAAAAATAATCCGAGTTTTCACAGGAACCATTTAACTTTATTGCTGGTCAAACTTCGTAATTAGAAGAAGAATGAGGGTGGCAGTGGGTGCCCGGATGTGATACATAGTTGAAGAGAAAAAGAACAAAGAAAACTAATTATGCCCAAATGTGATATCTAATTGAAGAAAAAAAGAACAAACAGAATTACCTTTCCCAGGTTTGGTAATAACAGCAGCTGCAAGGACAACCTGCATAACAAATCGAGCTATAAATCACAAGTGAAAGCTACGAAAAGACATCCCGCAATTCAGAAATGCATGATTCAGTAAATGCGTAACCCAAAGTGCAGTAGCGTTTATAAGGAAGAGAAGAGAAATAACCATCTTCAGTCGATCTTTGTAATGAGCTGTCGATATTTCCGCCAAAACAAGCTGAAGAATCACTAACAAAGAAAATGCTGATCTGAAAGATGAAAATTAGATCTATAGAGTGGTATATCAGATGTAGAATTTTTATTATGGATCTAAAAACTCATTAGCGATCGAGTTGCATATAAGGATGGTAGAATCATATATTTTCGGACTACATATATATCTTTGATAATGGTGGAAGTAGATGGAGCATACCTGGATTGGAGAGTAAGGTGAATTGTAAGAGGCGACAGGGCGAGAGGGTAATTTTCAGGGCGAGAGGGGAATTGTAGATGGGTCGCCCGGCAAGACCGGAATTGCAAAGCTTTTGCTCCGAAGGGTAATTTTCAGAATCCTGGATACAAACTACGTTCTCCTCACTACGTTTGCCACTTTTTAATTTTTAATATAAAAAAATGGGGGCTATCAAAAAAAAAAAAAAAACTGGGGTATCTAGCTTTCATAAAAAAAATATCGTCCCGCCTTATGTAATTTTAGCTTTTTAGTGTGACTTTTTTAGCCACAAACTGCACTTCTATTTTAATTTTAAACGCAATTCTTCATTAAAACAGATTATGGCGTATTTTAGATTAATAAATTTTTATTTATCTAACATGCATATTTTTTTTTCATCGAAGGGTCTTTCATTCATAAAAAGCACTCAGAAAGGGGTTGAAATAACAAAATGACCGCATGTAACCATCCCTCTGTGGACGAGACTCTGAGTTAATCACCTTTAACAAAGCAATATAACTCGCTAATCCTAACTCGGGGAAAATCAAAACAACGACGATTACCGCAGGCCTCTCATCCCCCAATCCAAGTGCAAAAGTCTTACAACATAAAATAAATAAACAACAAAACACAATCAGTATAAAATAAAAACAAAACACAATCGACTTAGCAGAAAGAGAAATACTCGTCCAAACCCTATTCGCACAATTCCTCCATGGGCGGTGGTTCTGGAGGGGGCGGATCAACATCCCTTCACCTTCTTTCACACGTAGGCCACCAATGAAACCCTGAAATTTGATCTTCCAGTCCGACAACACGATGTCGACCACCAGAAACTTCATGCTTTCACCAATAGCCATCTGTTTGTATTGGTGAATCACGTCCTCCATCAAATTGCCCCTCTGTTTCGTCAAAGCTCGTTCCCAAACTGCCGAAGAATAACAGCTCGGCTTGGTCTTCAACATTCTGTAGCACCCCAAACGATCAGCCCGTTCTCTTCAATATGCCCTGTTCAGAAGCTAAAAACCGGAGTCGGCACCGCCCACCCGAGATTGCAACACAGAGAGAAAGAACTCGAAACAAAAAAACCACGTTGACAGCAGAATCAAAACACTGAAAAGATATTTGATATAAGCTGCCTACCAGGGAGAAATCGCCGGAACCCACGGCCTGGAAGGCCGCCGCCGGAATATGACTAGGCTAAAACCTAGAGAGAAGTATTATCGCAGAGGAATATGGTGATTTAATTTATGAAATCCTAGTTAAAGTGTGTGAATTTTCTAACGTGCATATTTTAGATTATGGCAAAACCTTGATGCATAATTATGAATATATATTTTGAATTTGTTTGATGTCTATTTTTTTGTTATTTTGGAATAATTTAAAAAGTGACATGGTTTGATATTGGTACACAGTACCTTAAATTTAGAAATATGATCGTACTGAACAACTTTAATTTCTGGATCCAACCATACTGTACCGCTAAAACAGTTACACTACCACAGTGTTCTACATTGACTATATTTTATTAGAGAATATTACCCAAAATATGACTAAAAATGTTTGAAAATTCCAAAATAGGACTGCCATATTTTTATTCCCAAAATAGGACTAATTACTGTTATGTTTTAGGCAGTACCAGACTTCAAACATGGCAGTATTTTCCAAACTTGGCAGTAATTACTCCTATTTTGGGAATAAAAAACATGGCAGTCCTATTTTAGAATTTTCAACCATTTTTAGTCCAATTTCGGGAACTTTCCCTATTTTATTATTAATGTATTAGAAATTAAATTTATTTTTAATTTTTAAATATTATAAATATAAAAAATTTATTTTTAATTTTTTTTACTTATACGAAATGAAATATATTATTGATCAAAGTTCTGTGTTGACATTTATAAAAATGAAAACGTTGCAACAAAAGATCGGGGGAGATATTAAACAAGTACTTCAATGTCCTACTAAAATGATCTCATCTTTTCTTTTGATCTGTTTCACTAAAATTATCTCATACCAAATTTGATAATATTTGTGTGGATCAAAACCAATCTTACTCTATCTTCACTTTATCAATTCAATATCAATCATAAAAAAACTCACTTTTTCTTGATATATAATCACACCACCCCTTTTGTACCAATATCAAAGGTAGTAGTATAGAAAAGGCAAAAAGATACTTTAGATATCTTATCTCATACCCGATCAAATTAAAAAATTCAGACCGGGTCAAACAAGACAAAAATAGATCAGATCAAATCTTGTTAGAATTAAACAATAATAAAATTCACACCCACAAGCCATGTATTAGATCAAACTTAAAAAAGCAGATAAAATATAATGTTCCCTCACAAATTAAAAAAATATGTTCCCTCATCTCATAGAATGTAGTTTTATAAATTTTTCATAATCAAGTTTGATTGATGACATTTAATAATGTGAAATTATTTCAAATATAAAAATTATGTAAAAATGTCCTCTATTTAAAGTATTTTTATAAAATGCAAAAGTTATGAGTTTTGTACGGATATAATAATAACAATTAAAATCATTGTCCAAAATGTATTAATGTTGAATATGTAAGTAAATTTGTCTAAATTAAGCAAAAATATTAATCATTTTTCATTCATTTCATAATTAAATTTGTTGTAAAGAGGATTTTGTGAGTCGGACACATTTTTTAAATTACATGATTAAGATGTTAAGTAAAAATATTTATCATCAATCATGCTTTGCATATACGCTAGTTGTACACGACATTTACATGCCCTCAAACTAGGCATCTCAATGGGTTTAGGCGAGGCGGGTACTGCAAGACCGGACTCGTCCCGTGACTTTACTGGGTAGCCTCGCCATGTCCCTCCCCACGACCCGCACAGGTCCACACTTGTTGACCCATGACCTGCTCCATGCGGGCCGCTCCGCTATGTCGTAACCTGATTAGCTAGTATGCTTTTCTATATGTGTGGAGTCGTTACCATTTGAATTTGATACGCTAAAAATGAATATATTAAATTAAAGTTACAATACGCTAAAATATTCCCAAAAAACATTAATGTACTTAAATTTGAGTAGTTAATTTATTCACTATTCATCTCGTTCAAATATAAATATCAATATATTATAAGACCAAATAATTTATGATTTATTATAGGGAAAATAACTTTAAATAATACCAACTATTTTACATGAACAAAAAATAATACATACTTTAGAAATAACTTTTAATAATACCAACCATCTAAATGTAAACCAAAAATAAAATAAAGTCACTTTTCTACAAGAAATTGAACAATTTAAGACATCAAAAAGTAATATTAAATCATCAAATGATTTATATTTGGAAATACAATTGTGGATATTGAAAATTATTTAATATTTTGGACTTATTATTCTATGATAGTCTATAATATTATTAAACTGATCTAAATGCTACCGGACTGTTATCCACATTATTGGGCCTCTTTTGAATTTATTGGGCCTAAATCGGATTCTACTGGATTACTCGTATCAAAAGGAAAATATTAATATGGATCCGTTCAGACAAAATTGAGTGATTAAATTAATTTGGATCATTTAAAATATCCAATTAATTTAACTATAAGTTGAGTCTTTAACAAAATGGACCGGTCCTATTGATTTCTCTATTTCGAGCCCAATATGAAATAGTAGCCCAATGAATAAGAGACATGATCCAATTGATAAAGAGGGTAATGAATCCGGTTAAGAGACTGGTCCATATGCATGGGAAATGGCCAAGAACCTTGTTAAAAAACCTGTCCAGATACAATGCATAAGTGCTGATTTTTCTGGCTATTAAAATGCCAGTAAATAGAGCTCAAAGCCCATTTTAATTGAAGTCCAAGGGATATGGACGAATTTGCTAAACCCTAAAACATATTTTCACCCCCCCCCCCCCCTCCACACCTATAAGGATGTTTTTACTTGGACTGTAATTTGCCCCAGACCAGACCAGACCAGACCAGACCAGACTTGGATAGTTATAAAAATACAAAGAAACCAGACCTTACCAGACCAGACCAGTTCAGACCAGACCAGACCAGATCAGACCAGACCAGACCAGACCAGACCAGCAAATTACAGTCCAAGTAAAAACATCCTTATAGGGGTCTCAGTTGAGAGGATGAGGAGAGAATTTTCAGACAAAGAAACGCTGCAGAAAAGCTCTGAAGAACTCCCGAAAGGCTCTGAACGATTCCAAAGAAGAGGAAGAGATCAAGCCACGAATTTTCTCAAGAATATATGAATAATCCTTCGTGATTTCATCAATTCTTGATAAAATAAACCCAAAAGTTGAAGAACGTTCGAAGATCTGAAGAACAAAGATTGAAGATTCGAAGATCTGAAGAACAATGCTTTGAAGATTCGAAGACCTGGAGAATGAATCTTTGAAGATATTCATATGAAGTTTAAATCAAGATTCAACTGAAGATCAAGCCATATATCCCGGGAGGCCCTTAAACAGAAGATCAAACCATAAAACGGCCCTTTTGTTGAAGATCAAGCCACTTGAAAACCGGAGGCCCTTCAATCTCAATTCTTTGTTCAAGAAGATTTGAAGTACCGAAGAACGAAGATTCGAAGATCTCAAGAATGAAGATTCGAAGATTCAAAGAACGTTCGAATATTTGAAGAATTAGAGATTTAATTTTGAATTAAATTCTTTAATTATATTCATATCAAATTGCAAGTGAAGAATCAGAGGATTCATATTTAGAGATTGTACCCTATATTTTCACATATTATTATTTGTGATCAATTTTAAGTAAATACTTAAAATTTGTTTCACAAATTTTGGCACGCCTGGTGAGACAACTCTACCTCTCATCTCTTCACTTTTGATCTAGAAAAACGAACCAATGGCATCAAACAAGCCTGTGTTCATTTTCAATTTGAGAGCGTCATCAAGCTCGAATCAAGACATGCAAGGCCCTATCACTAGGAGCCGATCAAGAATCATAGTGGCGTGATCATCTTCTGAAACCACTCCCGGTACGATGGATGAATTTGGAATTGCGCAAGAGATGGTCCGGAAGCTTTCTTCACCCATACGTGAAGTTACTTCCCCGAAGTGGACAAACAACGGTGATATCTCATCAT